AGACGTCTCCAGCACCGAACCAAAGGGCCAGCCTCCTGCCAAGGCCAGTCCCAGCCAGGAGAAGACAGAGCTGATGGGAGGGGAGCTCAGAGAGGGGGCGAGAGGGAGGCGTGCCTGGGAGGCTGGGGGCAGCTGCTGGGCCTGAGGGTCTGGCTGGGGGCGGGAGCCGGGGGCTCAGGTGTGGTGGGGGTGGCGCTCCCGTGTGGCGGGGACACGTGGCCCGCTCTGCCGGCTCTCTCCCGACTTCCAAATGCCCAATTATCCCTGGGCGCCTCGCATCGACCGGCAGGGCGGCCAGCCCCAGGCCCAGCTCTGCCGTCCCTCCGCTCCCTGCGACGCTTGTCAGAGCTAATTGCTCTGACATTTCAGCGCTGACAGGCCCGGGTGCCAGGACATCACGGAACTTCTCCCAGTCTCCGGGGCGGTGTGCGGCTTTTCTGGGCCTGTCCCTGGGCGGGGTCTGGCAGGAAGAGACTGGAGGCAGGCGGGCGGCTCAGGTGGGATCTGCCCATGACCCCAGGGGCGACGGTGGGACGCAGGCCTCCAGTTCCTGCAGCCTCGGACCACTGGCCCAGGCAGCGTGACACCCGAGGGCCCTCAAGTCCCGGAGGTGTGCGTGCCGTGTCTGTGTGCGTCACACAGCTCCACGCCTTTCCCAGGACGCATGTGACGCGGGTGCACAAAGACGATCCTGGTCACACCTTGGAAGCGACCTTTAGCCCCCGGATGGCTGGGGACACTCTCCCTGACAGCTCTCCAGAAGGCCCCTGTGCTTTTCTATGGGGGGGCCCTGCAGAGCCCCAGGATGGGGACCCCCAGAGCTGCGGCCCTCTGGAGAGGGTGTTGGGGGGAGAGGAAGGGCTGGGGTCCCATGGCACTGACGCCTGCGCCCGGGGGGGTGGCCCGAGGCCTCATGCTGGCCGGCAGGCAGGAAGCGGGGCTGGGTGCTGATTGCCCTGGCCCTGGCCCCCACCAGTGCCCGCCTGATGCCAGGAGCAGGTACTCTATCATTACAGGCTATTACCTCCTCCGGGGCCTCGCTTGTTGAGAAAACACTCCAGCTCAGCACCTCCTAATTGCCCGGCAAGACAGCTGTGATCACCCAGCGTGACTGCGGGGGTGGGGTGCTGGGCCTTGGGGGGTGCAGCAGCGAGGGCCGGGGCCCAGAGCCGGCGGGAGGGAGACCCACGGGTGGTGCTTCGGGGGCTCCAGAGAGTTCTGGTGTCAAGTGCTTTAGGTCTCCATGCGACGAGCGGCAAAGGGAGAGATGAGGAGGGTCTTATTGGGAAAGGACGCTGGTGAGGCTCACAGCTGGGCAGGCGAGAGGAGCCGCACCCAAGAAGCTAGTGGGCGACGGTTTTCTAACCCAAGGGAAAGTGGGGCGGGGGAGAAGGGCACCCTCCTCAGTTGGGAGTGGGCGTCACGCCTCCGTCTTCAGCTGCCCCTACAGGTCGGGCCACTGCCCCCCTGTCCCTCCACGGCCACGCCGGGACTGTCGTCGCACCAGGGAAATATCATTCCAGGTGTCAGTGCACTGAGGGTCTTTCCTTTGAAATGTCACTTTTCCATAAATTATTGTTTCTTACATGTGCGGAGAAGCATGTCCTGAGCTCACTGGCAGGATGCGGGTCTCCGGACGCCTTTGTTTTCCTGTCTGGGGCATCCCTCCCGTTTGTGATGTGCGGTTCTGTTGCTCAGCCAGCCTGCTTGCTTTTGCGGTTAACCCACCTGCTCTCTTAGCTACTGTTGACTCACAGGGGTGTCCCGCAGCCTGTTCTTTCTTTACCGTCCCCTAGCGGGATTAGCTGTTTAATTACCGACTTTGTCCTTTTACTTTACCCCTGTCCAAAGGGTGGCGACCTGGCCGTGCACCATATCCCTGCACCCCGCACCTCCACAAGCGGCCTCTCTTCCCAGCCCACCCCCAAGCCTGGCCTGCGGTGCTCGGCCTTCTCCGCCCCGTGGACGTGTCCAGGCCGCAGGGCTCCCTGGTGCCTGACCCCCGGGGACCCCTGTCCAGCCCCACCCTCCTCCGGGGAGTCTGCCTGCCCAGCTTGGGTCCGTTAGATTTCTCCCCTTGGGGCCTGCGTCCCCTTAGTTCCTGGGGTGGACACCACTGGGTCCTTAAAGGAGCTGTATCTCAGGAGATGGGAAAACTGGGCTCAAGACTCACTGCACGACCCAGAGAAATCACTCACCTCAGTCTTCCTGTCTGCAGAATGGGCCTGTGAAGGCCCGTCTGAAGGCAGACGCCGCAAGGAGACCCAAGAGCAGGCAGGAGAGCAGGGTGCAGAAGCTGGGAGAGGAGGTTGGTGGGGGCAGGCTTGAAGGGCCCTGGGTCCCCTTACCTTACGGGGGGGGAGGGTGCGGCATGCAGTGGGGGGCACGGACAAAGGACGGAGGCGCTTCTGTGCTCTGGGGGACCCAGCATCAGGCCTGGGGGCAGGGGAGGGCCGGTGAATGGGAACGGCTTCCCAGGATGGGAGGACAGGTGGACATGTGGTCAGGTGTGGACTGGTGACCTGAGGGCCCGAACCGGCTTCTGGAGTGTGTCCACCTGCCTGTTGGCCGGGGGTCTCACCCGGGGGTCGCCTGGCCCCAAGGCAGGCTCAGAAAGCTGGCTCCACCCAGCTTCCACGCAAGCACTGGCTCAGGGTGGCAAAGGGATTAGAAACTGTATTTGTGTCAGCAGAGACATTTGCCGAAAGGTTAAGTCCACACCCGGTGCTCCTCCTGTGGGGCGTTTGGCGGACGTGTCGCCTCCAGGCCCGGGGCCGCCGCTGGGCACACGAGTACCAAGCGGGGACGCAGGAGAGTCCTCGGGCTTCTGGGGGAGCAGGGCGCCTGTGCAGGGCTGCAGCTTGATGCTGGGCGTGGAGGCCGGGCCAGCTCGGAGAGCACCGGGGACCTGGGCAGGGCGTGGAGGCCGGGCCAGCCCGGAGAGCACCGGGGACCTGGGCAGGGCGGCTCTGGCCTGGGGCAGTAGGGCGCCCACAGCCTCCACCTTGTCCCACCGGGGTCTCGGGCGGACACTTCCAACTCCACTGGGAGCGCACATCCGTGTGGAGCTGCCTCTGGGCTGCGCCCCGGGGACGGGGCCTCGGTGACACGCTCTCCAGGAGCCCAGGGTCTGGCAGATGAGGCGGGCAGGGGCCTGTGCGAGTGAGAGGGACACAGTCATGGGCCAGGCCAGCAGGGCTCCTGCCTTCAGGGAGTGTGCGCAGGGGGAGGAATAAGCCAGGAGAGCAGAGAAGGGGGAGTGGGTTCGCATCAGGGGCAAGAAAGGGTAGGCGCGGCAGAGTGAATGGTAGCTGAGCTGGTTTTGTGGGATGCATAGTTCACCAGGAGAGGGAAAGGGTGAGGAACAGCATTCCAAACACGGTTTCATGGAGCCCAAACTCTTCTGGAGCAGGAAGCAGGGATTTGGGGGGGTGAGACCAACAGCGGGGAGGTGACGGGACTCACTTGGGCAGTGGGGAGCCTTGGGGAGCAAGGCGGGTCACGGTCAGACCCCTCTGGGGAAGCTGCAGGAGGCGAGGGGTGTGGCGGCCACCGTGATGAAGAACAGGTGCTGCCTTGGGCCCGATGGGTGCCAGGAAGGTGGACAGAGACCGCTCAGTGACCAGCCGGGGATGGACCTGTGGGGGCGGAGAAGGGGGATCCAGGGCAGCCGGCTCCTCTGTGTCCAGGACGTCGCCCTGGTCGGCCAGACATGAGGAAGTCCGCCTCTGGAGGAGACCCCGGGGGGCACGCCGCGCCCCCCCCAGGCGGCCCTCCCTCGCTCCCCACTGCCGCTTCCTGGAGGCCCGGGCACAGGCCAGCCCTGCGGAACCCACAGGGCCCAGGGCCACGGGGAGACGCCCCCTCCAAGAGTTCCCTTCTCAGAGAGGAGAGGCCTTCCCGAGGGGCCCTGGAGCCGCCCGTGGTTGGGAAGTGCTCACAGCCAGGAGGCCCCCACACCCGCCCGAAGCTGCGTCTGAACGTGCATGGGGAAGGGCCAGGCTGCCGTGCAGACACCGCAGACTCATGCTGCCTGGTACTGAGGTGCGTCCCCGCTGGTCCCCCGGCCTCTGGGGCGGGGGGTGGGGGTGGTCCCACCAGAGGGGCCTCGTGCCTGGAGCTCACGAGACACTGGACGGGAGCTGTCCCGGGAGCCCCATGGTGCAGGGACCCCCGAGAAGGGCCGCAGGGGCCCAAGCGCAGTGCTCAGGGCTGGGGTGTCCTCGGGGTGGGGACCCCCGGGGGAAGCGGTCAGAGGGCCTTAGGGGGACACTGGGGGGCCAAAGGCGGGCTGTGGGGGGTGGGGCCGGGAGCTGGCTGAGTAGGAGCAAGTGGGATAATCATTAGAGGCCGCGTGGCCCTGCCTCCCTCACCCTCCTCCCCACTGGAGTTCAGGCCCTGCTGGAACATCCCGGGCCCCGCTGGGCGGCCCTGGGGGCCGGGCACAGGGGGTGGCGGGAGGCAAGTAATGCTCCTGCTGACGGTGTGGAGCAGAAGCAGACCTCAGGACCCTGCTGGGAAGTGGGGTGGGGTGAAGGATCTTCCGGAAAGGCAAGCTGCCTTCAGACAGCTGCGGTCAGAGCTGTGTGCCTGGACCGATGGCCACCAAAGGTCAGGGTTTTGTGTACCGGACACCCTGGGGTGTCCGGAACACCCCCTCCCCGCGAAGCCGCCCGTCACACTTGTGGTGGGCTGAGGGGCCTGGCTGCACCCCGCCCTGCAGAACACGCCTGCCGGAGTCTAGATGATTCAGAGGCGGGCCGGCCACTCGCCTGGGGGCCTGCGACAGTGGATGCAATTAGATTTAATGGGACAGAGCCCTTTCTCGGCGGCTCCGAGCTCTCTGCCCACCCCGCCTCCCTCCGGGGCGGCAGCGGGAGGGAGCTGTGAAGGAGGTGGAGGTGGGAGGTGGGGGACCCGGGGGGCTCTGACGTCAGCCCAGCCTATAAAGGCCGCCAGGCAGAGGGCTGTGGAGACGGAGCCCGGACCTGGCCAGCACCATGCCCACCCCCAACGCCGCCTCGCCGCAGGCCAAGGGCTTCCGCCGGGCCGTCTCCGAGCTGGACGCCAAGCAGGCCGAAGCCATCATGGTAAGAGTGCAGGCAGGTGCCCACGGGCCGAACGAGCCTGAAGCCCAGGGGTGGCCCCCGAAGGCTGGTGGGCGGCCCCAGGCTCAGGGTCTGCACGGCCACCCGGGGCCAAGGCCTGGCCTCCAGTCCTGGCCACGAGTGCGTCCGTGCTGGCCCGGTGAGCAAACGCTGAGTCCCGGGGGGGGGTTGCATCTCTGCGGGGGGCCCTGCTGGACCCGGTGTGTGTGTGGCAGGGTCCTGGGCCCTGCAGAGGTGCATGGGGGTGGGGAGGGGGGGATGGTGCAGGCTGCTCTGCTGAGCTGGAGGGAGTCTGCACTCGGGGGCCATTCCCACCCATTGCCTCCCGTCTGCCTGCCTGTCCTCCGTCCACCTGTCCGTCCACCATTCACTCGTGCACCTGCCACACGCTCTGTCCCACGAGGAGTCTCCAGTCTTGAAACCCCCCTCCTGTCTCCAGCAAACCTGAGCCTCCGTGACCGCCAGGAATGGTCCCCAAAGCACGGCCCACCCCATGGGGGCCCCGAATTCAAGGGAGCCCTTGCTGGGAAGACCCACTGGGCCAGCCCCCTCCCTGAGACCGAATGACTGGGGGCTTCTCGGGCTGGAGGAAGAGTCTCCAGTTCCCTCTCAAGGATGGGCTGGGATGATCAGCTCGTCTACAGAGCTCTAATGAAAATGTGGGTGGGGTTCTGGACATTTAATTTGCAGGCACTGTCTCAGGGGACCCGCTGTGCGGTAGAGGGTTGCTCCCCCTTCTTGGGGTCCCAGGGAGGTGCCCCCCGACCACGGAGGCCCCTGGCTGTCCACACCCTGCCCTAGGTCAGGTGGAGGGAGGGCTCCCCCAGGCCTGGCTGTGTTCCGAGACCTGAGGGCGCCAGAGCCTTCTTGGAAGTTCAGCTCCAGGTGGTGAGCCCAGAGGGGCTTCTGTGTTCAGGAGGGGTTGGGGGCAGACACACCAACCCCAGGGGCTCATGGTCTCAGGGACAGACAGTGGGTAAGGTGCTGTCAGGCCAGACTAGAGGTGGGGCCATGAGGAGGGGTCATCCCAGGCTGGACGCCGTGTCCTCTGGCCCCGGGGCAGCCCCAAACGGCTCCTGACCCACCGCCTCCCATCCCCTGACCCGGCCAGGTGGGCACAGAGGCTGCCTCCGCCCCTGGCCCCAGGCAGGGCAATGCTGGAGCCAGGCCCAGCGCTGTGGGCAGGCCGAGGGCGGGGGCAGCTGGTGCACCTGTCCCCACAGTCCCCGCGCTTCGTCGGGAGGCGGCAGAGCCTCATCCAGGATGCACGCAAGGAGCGGGAGAAGGCGGAGGCTGCGGCTTCATCCTCGGAGCCCGGGGAGGCGGGCAGCCTGGCTGAGCAGCACGGGAAGGCGGTGCTGACCCTGCTGTTCGCCCTGCGGCCCACCAAGCCCCCCACGCTGACCCGGGCTGTCAAGGTGTTCGAGGTGAGGGGCGCCGGAGGCCGTGGGGACCTTGAGGGGAGGGGTCCCTCCAGCCCTGGAAGCTCCCTGAGCCCGGCCCCCCGCCCACCCCGTGCCCACTGCCTCACTCCATAGGAGGGCCTTGGCGCTGGTCCCCACGCCCACGGAGGGCCTGTCCCCGGGGGCGCGGAGCTGAAGGGCAGCCATTGGCGTGAGCTCCTCCCGTCACAGCAGGCCGCGGGGTCCGGGCACTGGCTCCCCCCACAGGCGCCCAATGACAGGACTGCAGAGCCCGCTCAAGCTCCCGTGTGGCCTGAGGGCCTTGGAGACCAAGGCTCCCTGGTTGCTGGCGCCGCGCGCCCGTGGGGAAGGGGACCCTTCCTACCATCCCTATCGCTACCCTCCTCGGTGGGCACCAGAGACTCCTGATCGGGCCGTGGCGGGGTCAGCGCCCACCCTCGGCCGCCGGGGTCTGCACGGGGCCTGGACTTCCAGCAGGGAGGGAAGTCAGGCCTCCTGGGGTGGCCGAGGGCACACAGAGGCCCGGTCCAGAACGCTGGGTCTGGGGGGCCCTGAGACAAGTGCGTTCGCCCAGGTTTCCCGCTGAGACCGCCCGGGGCAGCGGGCATCTGCTGGAGTCTGGGACTTGGTGTGTGTGCTCCTGGCCGCTGGGGTCCTGGGCGGGGCAGGGCGGCGACCCGCGCCTGCTTCCCAGCTCCCTGCCCCCTCCCGCGTCTCTGTCTGTCCATCTGTGTGTCTGTCCACCTCTCACTCCCTATTTCTCCCTGCTCTCGCCCCTAAGACATTCGAGGCCCACGTCCACCACCTGGAGACCCGGCCGGCCCGGCCGCCGCGGGCAGGGAGCCCAGGCCTGGAGTGCTTCGTGCGCTGCGAGGCGCCTGGCCCCGCGGTGCCTGCCCTGCTGGGCGCCCTGCGCCGCGTGGCGGAAGACGTGCGTGCCGCCGGGGAGAACAAGGGTGAGGCGGCCCCCGGCCCGAGACGGGAGGCCGCGGGGACCGGGGCGTGGCTGGGGGGGTCCCTCCCTGCGGGCCGCATCCTGCTCAGCCGTCTTGGCCTGTGTCGCCTCCACTCCCCCCACCCCAGCTGGAGCGGGAGGCTGCGGCCGGAGCCCTCCCTGCGCGCCCAGCACTCACTCCTGTCCGCCCCCCTCCCCCCTTCCCGAAGTCCTCTGGTTCCCGAGGAAAGTGTCCGAGCTGGACAAATGTCACCACCTGGTCACCAAGTTTGACCCTGACCTGGACTTGGATCACCCGGTGAGCCGGCCTCCCGGGGTGATGGGCGGTGGGAGTGGACCTGGGCGAGGAGGGCGAGTCTGTGGGCCGCCCGGCCCCCGTGAGGCCTGGCTGGGAGCAGCGCCGCGCCTGCCGGGGTCACCAGCTGTGCCTGGGCGGGGCGGCGGGCCGGCTCCCAAGGACGGCGCCCTCTCTGTGGCCAGGGCTTCTCCGACCAGGCGTACCGCCAGCGCAGGAAGCTGATTGCCGAGATCGCCTTCCAGTACAAGCAGTAAGGACCCTCCTCGGGGCCGCGTCCTCTGGGACCCAGACCCCATCCTCGGGCCTCACACTAGACCCCCCCCCGGGAAGGGGGCAGGATGTCCTTGTCAGCAACGCCATCGCCTTCGCTGTGACCGTGGCCGCAGCAGGGAAACCTCGGCCCAGAGAGGTTAAGCAAGGCGCCTGAGCCACACAGCCGGCGGGGCGCTCAGCCTGGGCCCCTCCCGTCCACTCCCCACACGTCCTCCCTGAGGGGGCCTGGACTGACTGCAGACCCCTCCTCAGAGGCGACCCCATCCCCCACGTGGAGTACACGGCCGAGGAGATCGCCACCTGGTGAGAGTCCGTGGCAGAGGCGGGCCGGGTGGGCACAGGGGCCCGGGGAGGACCCGCAGGACCCCGTGCGGAGGTAGTGGCCTCCAACAGGACAGACAAGTCCGAGGGGAGGGGGGACTTCCCGGGGCCCCCACTGCTCCCCCGAGACCCCCAAAGCCGCGCCCAGTGGCCAGCTTCTCGGGCCAGTGAGAAGCCTGCAGTGCGAGGCTGCCGGGGCCTGCAGGGGGCAAAGCAGAGCCCACAGGCTGGCGGCACTGCTGGAAGCGGGGAGGGTCTGGGCAGGCGCCGGCCTGAGCCCCTGGCCCACAGGAAGGAGGTCTACTCCACGCTGCGGGGCCTGTACCCCACCCACGCCTGCCGTGAGCACCTGGAGGCCTTCGAGATGCTGGAGCGCTTCTGCGGGTACCGCGAGGACCAAATCCCGCAGCTGGAGGACGTCTCCCGCTTCCTGAAGGGTGGGGTGCCCGCGCAGGGTCCCCGGGGCTGCGGCCCGCGCCCGGCCACCCCCTCCGCTCCCGCCACCCACCGTGCCCTGACCTCCCGCACCCCCCTGCCCCAGCAGAGCGGACCGGCTTCCAGCTGCGGCCCGTGGCCGGCCTGCTGTCCGCGCGGGACTTCCTGGCCAGCCTGGCCTTCCGCGTGTTCCAGTGCACCCAGTACATCCGCCACGCCTCCTCGCCCATGCACTCCCCCGAGCCGTGAGTGACCAGCCCCTGCCCCCGGCCTGCGGGGGAGGGCGGGAGGGCGAGTCTGGGGTTTGGGGGGACAAGCTGCCCGCCGGGGGGTGCCCCCAGCCCCACCCACTCTCCGCCCCCAACACAGGGACTGTTGCCACGAGCTACTGGGGCACGTGCCCATGCTTGCCGACCGGACCTTCGCCCAGTTCTCCCAGGTGGGTCCTGGAGGCCTTGGGAGCCCGGTCACCCAAGGGGCTGGCCACCAATGGCCTCCCCCCGCCACACCCCCAGGCTGCACAGTGCCCCCCTGGCCGTGAGACTCCAGGGGGCGTGTGTGGTCCTGGAATGGAGGGCTGGGTGGCCAGGGCCGGGCGTGCTCAGGCCCGCGCGGGCAGACCACCTTAACTCATTGTCCAGGAAGAACCCTCCCCGCGGTCCCAGGGGCCAGGCTGGGGCCACGTCCCGGGCCTTGTGCTGCCACCTGCTGGCTCTCCTAGGAACGGCGGGGAGCAGTCCCAGGCCCCCAGCAGATGCCAGGAGGCTCTCTGCACCCTGGCAGCATCCAGGAGACCCTGGGGGGAGGGGCCGCGGACACCCCCAGCAACCTCACTGCTCCCCCCTCCACAGGACATCGGGCTCGCATCCTTGGGGGTGTCGGACGAGGAAATTGAGAAGCTGTCCACGGTGGGTTGCATCCCCCTCAGGGCCCTGGGCTCAGACCGGGCCCCCTTGTGCAGGCTGAGATCTCTGCTTCTCGTGCCGTAAGCGCCCCCCGGCCCCGGAGCCCGGCTCGGCTCTGCCCAGGGCTGGGGGGGTGCCGGGGTCTCGGCGAGCGGGTCGGCTGTGCTGACCACAGCGTCTCCCGCCGACCCCACTGCTGCCCCATCAGCTGTACTGGTTCACCGTGGAGTTCGGGCTATGCAAGCAGAACGGGGAGGTGAAGGCCTACGGAGCGGGGCTGCTCTCCTCCTACGGGGAGCTCCTGGTGAGACCCCCACCGCCCCCAGGGAGGGCCGGGGCCTGGGCCCGGCAGGCAGGACCACCTTGGCCATCCCCCCAGGCTCAGGCCACCCGGGAGGCTGAGCAGGGGGCTGCCCTACTAGGGACGCTGAGGAAGCGGTCCCCACTGCCTCCCACGGGCACCATCTCCAGGCCTCGGGAGGACCTTCGAGGGGCGGGCGGGTGCCAGTCGGGCCCTGGGGCTCCAGCCCCCTCGGGTCCTGAGAGCCCGGCCCCCCGCCTCCCGCCAGCACTCCCTTTCCGAGGAGCCCGAGATCCGGGCCTTCGACCCTGACGCGGCGGCTGTGCAGCCCTACCAGGACCAGACCTACCAGCCCGTCTACTTTGTGTCTGAGAGCTTCAGCGATGCCAAGGACAAGCTCAGGTGGGCTGAGGCTCCCGGGCAGAGACCCCCCGCCCCCGCAACACTGCACCTCCCAACTGGGCAAGCCGGCCAGCCGGCCAGGCCTGCGGACCCATTTCACAGGGGAGAAAAGGGCGCATCTTGGTTACAGCGTCCCTTCTGCAGCCAGACCCCCTGCAAGTCTGGGGAGGGGAGACCTGCAGGGCTGGTGGCCAGCTGAAGGCCAGACTTTTAGAAGCTGAAGTTTGGCTCCGTAAGACAGATGTGTCTGACCTTGTAAGACGGGTCCTTCCTGGTCTCCTGCCCTCTGAGCACCTGGGGCTGTGGGTTGGGGGGACAGAGAGGGGAAGCGCTGCTGGGATAGCCGAGGGCCAGGGGGGAGCCTGGCGGGAGCTTCCTGGGCTCGGGGCGCAGTGACCAGCATTCCCCAGGGGAGGGGGCAGAGCCCAACACACCCGACCCGGTCACCCTCGGGAGGGGCCTCTTTCCAGCCCGACTCCCGTTGTCAGGAGGGAAACTGAGGCCCAGGATCTATTGAGCCTGGAGTAAAGGAGGTGTGGATCTCACATGCGAGCGTATGGACAGAGACATAAAGGACTCTCCAGAGCACACGTCTGGAGGCCTTCCTGGAGGAGGAGGCCTGGCTGCGCCTCCCTTGGGAAGGAGCAGGGCGGGATGGAATGCCTGGTAGAGGTTCGCTTAGAAAAGGGCCTGTCCTCCCTGCCGTAAACAGCCCCCAGCCCTTGCAGGAGGCCTTGGTCCCCAGACTTGTCTGGGTGGCTGGACAGAATGAGCTTTGGGGGCCTCAGGCTCAGAAAAGTCCTGGGGCTCTGAGCCCGCTGTGATGGGGGAGACGGGCCCCCGCACTCCGGCTCCTCCCCACTGGTGACTGAGGGTCCCTGCGGCGGCCCCCCCCCCACAGGAGCTACGCCTCCCGCATCCAGCGTCCCTTCTCTGTGAAGTTTGACCCATACACACTGGCCATCGACGTGCTGGACAGTCCCCACGCCATCCGGCGCGCCCTGGACGGCGTCCAGGATGAGATGCACGCCCTGGCCCACGCTCTGAACGCCATCAGCTAGACGCGGGGCGCCACCCACAGGCCCCAGTGGGCTGGCCTGGGGCTCCCGGCCTCCCCCCTCTGCCTGCTCTGGCCCCACCCACATGAGGGGCTGGCTCACGGGGCACCCCAAGAGCCCACAGAGACCCCTCCTGCCAGAGGGCACCTGCCAGCGCTTGCCAGCTGAGTCGGCGTCCGTCCCGCGAGCTGCTCCCGTGCTGTGCCACCCGCTTGCAACCTCAATAAAAGAGAGACTCATCCCTGAGTGCCCACCTGCTGTCTGCATCTGCCACGGGCTCCGCGCACAGCCCCGGGCCCCCCACACGCTGCCCCAGCCCCACTCAGAGGCTCCCCGCTGCCCGCCTCCTCCAGGCAGCCCCGGGGTCATCCGCTCACCCAGAGGACCAGCCCGCCCTGCGCCACCAGCAGCCACAGAGCACCGCGGGGCTCGGGCTGAGCTGTCCCGTCTCCGTGGGGTGATGGCCTGGCGGCGGGGGGCTGGTCTGGGTTCCAGGGACAGGGCTCACAGCTGTGGTCTCCAAGGCAGAGCTGCAGGCTGAGCCCCCCAATCCTCGTACTCCGCCCGCCCAGAGCAGGACCTGGGGATAGCCCCCACAAAGGACGTAGCAGCAGGGAGCTCTGCTGGGCTAGCTCCAGGGGACCCCCCCCACCCGGGCCTCAGTCACCCAGCAAGGTGGGCGGGTGCTGGATTCTGTGCCCTGTTTACTTGCCCAGTCCGGACAGCGCCTCCAGCTAGAACCTCCAGCTTCCTCCAGGACTGGCCCTCGAACCAGCATCCTGGGGCTGCCCGGGAAGGGGTTGGCTCCACTGCCAGGACCCTGGCTCAAAAAGCTCTTGAGGATGTTAATCCCGGGAACTCCTGCACATCGGTTAAGACCTTCCAGGCAACGCCCTCCCCTCTCGTCCTCCCTGGGGGTCTGTCCTTCCAGCCGCATCTCAAGCACCTGGTCTGTGACCAGCCCTTCTGTAGTCATGTCCCACTGTCTGTGCGGATCCCAGTGGGGTCACTCCTGGGGTGACACGCTCCGCTGAGACCCTGGGGAAGGGCTGATGTCTGGCTCACCTCCCTCCTGCCCTGCTGGGCCCTGGGCTTTGTGCTCCCCCCGGGTCTGCCCGCATCCAGCCTCCTGCCAGGCACACCCCTCTCAAAGAGGCCACAGGGTCTCGCCCGGCTGCAGGGGGGCCTCCGGACACCGTGATGTCCTGGGAAGACAGGGCCCAGCCCCTTCCTTGGAGTCGGGGAGCCGACAGGGTCCAGGCCTCCCCCAGGTGCCCGTCAGGAGGGTGGGATCACCGCAGGGGAGTAGCACAAATAACAGCCAAGGGTTGCGATGGGGTTGGGGGCTCGTCAGACGGGCTCAGCCCTCGGGGGCTCCCCTGGTGGCTGAGTGGTGAAGGCTCTGCCTGCCAACACAGGAGACACGAGCTCGATCCCTGGTCTGGGAAGAGCCTGTGCTCCTCGGGGCAGCTGAGCCCGGGCTCCACAGCGGCTGAGTCTGTGCCCTGGAGAGCAGCCCCTCTCTCCAACGAGAGAAACGAAGGTCCAGCGTAGCCAAACATTACATACATAAAATTACATATATACAGAAGAAAGGAAGAGATGGGCAGGGTCTCCAGGAAGAGGGGAGGGGCCGGGAGGGCAGCGGGGCGGGCTGGTGGGGCCTGCAGCCTCCACACTGAAAACGAGAATCGGGGCCAACCTGAGGGGCCTCACGGCTGTGGGTCCCCGGGTTCAGCTCTCAGCATCCCCTGGGAAGCTGGGGGTCTTGGCGGGCCGCTGTGCTGGGGAGGGTGTGGGGGGGGCGGTGGCCAAGCAGACAGGCCTGCTGCCCACCCCATGGCCGGGACTGTCGCCGGGACCTCGGGGGCCGCCCAGGGACACAGCAGGGGTCCCCCTCTTGCCCCCGCTGCCTGGACTAACGTGGACGATGGGGCCCAGGCTGGCCAGGCAGAGGACTTCGCCCCCAGCAGTGCGAGGGGACAGCTTGGCGTGGATCGGGCCCCTCATTAAGACTCTAATGACCCCACGGCCCCGAGAGGTGCTGACGACCAAGGAGAGGTTCCTGCAGACCCAGCAGTGGGGAAATGATCCAGAAACTGCAGCCTCAGCCCCCGGACCATCTGCCGCACTCTTGGAGGCCCTATGATGGGCCCGGCGGCGGGCTCAGGGGCTATAAAGCCAGCAGGGCACAGCAGCCCCCCACCCTCAGGACCGGCTGCATTCGAGGCTGCCAGCAAGCAGGTCGGTCCGTGGGCTCCGCATCCGCCGGGGTCTGGGGCTGCCCCGCTGGGGCTCAGGGCGTCGGGACTCAGGTCCGCCGAGCCACAGGAGGACGTGCGCTCTCTCGGAGCACCTGGGGGGCTGCCCTGGTTGAGGGTGCTGGGTGGGGGGCGGCCCTGACTGAAGGTCCCGGGCGCCCCCCCGGGCTCAGCCCCCGCTGTTCCCCAGGTTCTCGAAGCCCCGCCATGGCCCTGTGGATGCGCCTGCTGCCCCTGCTGGCCCTGCTGGCACTCTGCGCCCCCGCCCCGGCCCGAGCCTTCGTCAACCAGCACCTGTGCGGCTCCCACCTGGTGGAGGCTCTGTACCTCGTGTGCGGGGAGCGAGGCTTCTTCTACACACCCAAGGCCCGCCGGGAGGTGGAGGGCCCCCAGGGTGAGCCCCCGCACCCCCGGCCCCCACCCTGGCCTCCCACGGGCGCCTGGCGGGAGATCAGGGGAGATTTTTAAGAAGGAAAACGATGCTCTCTTGGCCATGTCCTCAACATGACGGGCTCCCTGGGGGCTAAGCCAGGACGACCCCCAAGGGGGCCTTACCCCCTCCACCCTGCCTTCTCACCTGGGCCCCCTCCCTTCCGCCCATGAGGGCAGCTCTGGGGGCATCTGACGACGCGAGGCCAATCCGGGGGCCAAGGGTCTCAGGGGGCAGCCCTTGGTGGCGACAGGGGGGTGCCCATGGAAGACGCCCCGTGACCTGGAGAGGCGGCCCTGTCCCGGGTGGGCTGTCCGGGGCTGGCAGGTGGGGGGAAGGGCGGCTGGGCAGGGTCCCACTCCAAGGCCAGGCAGGGCGGGCAGGGGTCTCCTGCTGGCTGACCGTCTCCCCGCAGTGGGGGCGCTGGAGCTGGCGGGCGGCCCTGGCGCGGGCGGCCTGGAGGGGCTCCCGCAGAAGCGCGGCATCGTGGAGCAGTGCTGCACCAGCATCTGTTCGCTCTACCAGCTGGAGAACTACTGCAACTAGTGCGCCCAGCGCCCCGGCCCTAACGCCAATAAACCGCGTGACAAGCCCTGCTGTCGTGTCTGTGTGGCCTGGGGTCCGCGGCGCCCATGGGGAGGGGCTGAAGAGGGCGGGGGCTCCCAGCCCGAGACCCCTTTCTGTTCTCACTGCGTCAGCATCAGCGTCTCCAAGCCGTCTCCATGCGAGCTGGGTGCCCGAGGCAGGGCCCTCCACGGTGGCGAGCTCCCCTCCTCAGGGGTCCTGCTCGCAAGGTGGGCTCTGCGGGGCACCCACCCAGGTCACCACCAGTCACACCCAAGAGCCCAGGGCTGCCCGGGTTGGCCACGGCTCTGGAGGTCAGCGGGTGACCTGGCTGTACCAAGGCCTGGCCGGCCTGCCGGCCGCCCAAGCCAAACCAATCTCCTCCTCTCCTGAAGGCGCCACCTGGGCTGGAGCTTGGGGTGGCAGGGCCCGGGGCTGGGTGCCTGGGCTCCCCTGGCGGCAGACCACTCAGAGGCCGGCCTGGTGCCCCGCTGGCGGGCAGTCCTGCATGTACCTCGAAGGCTCTCACCCTGTCACCCCCTCCCCGGGGCCACATCAGCACCCCCCCAGGGCCTCCAGAAGGCCCCGCCCCTTGGGGAAGGCCAGGGCTGTGCAGGCAGGTGGCCGGCCGGACACTGGACCCGGAAGAGGAGGGGGCGGGGGGCTGGGATGAGCAGTGATCTGCCCGTGGGCTCACGCGGGCAGGCCTGTGAGCGCAGGTCGGGGCAGGGGTGCCCCGCAGGAGCTGAGGTATGTGGGTGCCTGGACCGGGGGCATCTGGGGCTGGGAAGTGGGCGGCTGGTCATTGCCAGGTTGCTCTCAAGGCCCTGCCAGCCAGTGAGACCCTGGGGACCATCTGGATGCTCCCCCTCCCCCTCAGGTGCCAACAGACTCTGTAGAGAGGGCAAGGAGGCCTTTGGGGTCCCGGGGTGCGTGGGGCCGTCCCAGTACGCCCTGGGTGACGTGGCTGGGGGCTCGGGGGAGGTGTGTACGGGGGCAAGGCTATGGGTCACGGTATGTCATGGCCCCCCACAGGGGCCTGCCTCCCTGACCCCTCCTGAGACCCGTCCCAGCCCTGAGACTGGGGACCACCCCCCGAGTCTCTTCCACCAGTCCCTGGGCCTGGGTGATGTGGTTTTGAGCAGGAGGGCTGGAGGCCCTGGCATGAACAAGGTCACAGAGGCAGGGAGAAGCAGCTGCCAGGGCTCCCTGGGCCCTTGGCGCCAGGACAAGGTCAGATTGGGTCTTCTGCGCGGCGCCCCTTGGCTGCTGAACCCCAGAGGCCCCTGCTTCCCGGAGCCTGCATGCCCCCCTATGGCAGCCCAGCCCACGGACCTTGGCTCTGCCACCCGCCCAGGTCCCGGCTCCGCCCCTTCTGGGAACTGGAGGCCCGTCCTGGCTGCCCTTGGGACCTGGGCTTCACCGGCCCACGGGGCTGACAGTGGCCGCCCACCATGTCCGGCCCCGCGTATCATCCTGCTGTGGCCGTCGGGGTCCAGGGGCCGAGAGCAGCCCCCCATAGCTGGCTCACTCCCCCGTGCGTCTGTTCCGCGGGGCACTGTCCACACACACGGCGGGGGTGGGGCTGCTGCACCTGCGCTCCTAGCGGGGACCCCGAGGCTGGGGTCAGGCCCTCCGGCCTCCACCCACTAAGGACCTTTGCTGGTGTGGCCGCCTCCAGGCTGGCCCCCCAGATCGTGTCTGCTCCTGGCACAAGGGAGCTGGCACCTACGCCTGGCCGTGTTTGCCTTCTCCGGGTGGCAGTAAATATTTACCGTCCCCACTATTCTCTGGGCCCTGAGAAGGGCATGGCAGGTGGGCGCCAGGATGCTGAGCTGGGCCTCTCCCTTGAGGACCCAGGGCCTACTGGGGGCCAGGCCGGGAAGAGGGAGAAAGACCAGGAAACGGTGGCTTGAGGGCCTCAGAAGACCCCATACAGAGCCCAGGCTGAGCCCCGGGCAGAGTCTGCGTCCAGCTAGGCTGGGAGTCCTCACCTTGGGGAGCCTGCCCCTTGACCCTGGCGGGTGGGCCCCTGTCCACACCAGGCGGGCGGTCAGAGCGGTCATTTGCAGGTAGAACCAGCAGAGGGCACCAAAGCCTCACTTTCGCTTCACTTCCTTCTGCAAGTCCCAGCGGCGTCCCCTCTGCAGGGGGCTGTTGCCCCCGCCGCCCACATTCCCAAAGGCCAGCACACAGGGGCTGTGCGGGACGCCCAGCAGGCTGGCTCCTGGGGCCTCTGGAGGACGCAAGGCTTAGGAAGGAGAGAGGGTGCCCCAGGCCTCACCCCCCTAGTCAAGCCGGCCCTCTAGAGCCCAGGTTCCCTGGGGGAGCAGCTGGACAAGGTGCCGGGTCGCCAACATTCTGGGTCACTTCTCCAGGAGAGACTGACCCTCTGGCTGCAGAGTCAGACCTGGGCCAGAAGGCCGTGGGGGTGGAGGCCAGTTCCAGAGGGGATGCTGGGGGCAGGGGGTGGCCGGGGGTCCGGGAGCTGCGGAGAGAGCAGGCAAGCGGGGTGGTGGGGCGCCCGCCAGCCCCTCCCCACAGAGGCTCAAATGTCCCACTCCCTGCCATCTGCTGCTGTCAGGGATCTGACCCAGGCAGCCTGTGGAGGGGTCCCCAGTGTGGCCCCCAGAAGCTGGGCCTGGGACTCTCACCACACAGTGCCCACCCTCCAAGGTGCAAGGCTGAGATATGGGGTCCTGGGGCCACCCCTGGGCCCTCAGGATTGGGGAGGAGGTGGGGCGGCCTCCAAGGCTCCCTCATACAGAGATGCTCAGACCCTGGGTCGTCCACTCCTAGCAGAGCCTGGCTCTGTGCTTTGCCAGAGATGAAGGTGAGCCTCCACGCCCACAACCTGGGGGTCGAGAGCACACGAGCCCAGGGCGGCCCCACCCTCTCGCCCCACGTGGTCGAGGCTGCTGAGCCATCGGAACCTCGTGGCGGTGGGAAGGGCGCGTTCCGCCCGCCTCGCTCTGACCCCCTTCCTGGCCCATCTGTGTTTTTGGAAAACAGAGCCGGCACGCCTGGGGTGGCCCTGCAGCCCAGGGCTGTTCACACTGCATCTCAAAGCACACGGTTTTCTTCAAAGTCCGGCCTCCCTTCAGAGCTTGACCCCGTTCCAGCCCGGCCTCCCCGGAGCACCCTGCTGGCCGCCCACACCCGAGGCCCGCTTGCCCGGGGACCTTGGAAGTCCCCTTCCCTCTCTAGGCCTCAGGTTCTGAGCTGGATACCAGACTCGGGAGGCGGCTCGGTGGGCAGCCAGAATAGGGCTGGGAGGAAGAGAACCTGAGGGTCCAGGTGAACCCGAGGCCCTGAATCCACGACCCAGGCCTCCCTGACCCTACTCACCTACTGTGGTCCTCCGTGGTCGCCCTGGCCTCCTCTGGTCCCCTACAGTCCTCCGTGGTCCCCCCGGCCTTCTCTGACCCCTACAGTCCTGCATGGTCTCCCCGACCTTCCCTGACCCCTACAGTCCTCCGTGGTCCCCCCGACCTTCCCTGACCCCTACAGTCCTGCACAGTCCCCCCGACCTTCCCTGACCCCTACAGTCCTGCATGGTCTCCCCGACCTTCCCTGACCCCTACAGTCCTGCGTGGTCTCCCCGACCTTCCCTGACCCCTACAGTCCTCCACGGTCTCCCCGACCTTCCCTGACCCCTACAGTCTTCCGTGGTCCCCCCAACGTTCCCTGACCCCTAGAGTCCTGCACAGTCCCCTCGACCTTCCCTGACCCCTACAGTCCTCCACGGTCCCCCCGACCTCCCCTGACCCTACAGTGCTCCGTGGTCCCCCCGGCCTTCCCTGACCCTACAGTCCTGCGTGGTCCCCCCGACCCTCCCTGACCCCTACAGTCCTGCGTGGTCCCCCCGACCTTCCCTGACCCCTACAGTCCTCCACGGTCCCCCCGACCTCCCCTGACCCTACAGTGCTCCGTGGTCCCCCCGGCCTTCCCTGACCCTACAGTCCTGCGTGGTCCCCCCGACCTTCCCTGACCCTACAGTCCTGCGTGGTCCCCCCGACCTTCCCTGACCCTACAGTCCTCTGTGGTCCTCCCGACCTTCCCTGACCCTACAGTCCTCCGTGGTCCCCCCGACCTTCCCTTACCCTACAGTCCTGCGTGGCCCCCCCGACCTTCCCTGACCCCTACAGTCCTGCGTGGTCCCCCCGGCCTTCCCTGACCCCTACAGTCCTGCATGGTCTCCCCGACCTTCCCTGACCCCTACAGTCCTGCGTGGTCCCCCCGGCCTTCCCTGACCCCTACAGTCCTGCGTGGTCCCCCCGACCTTCCCTGACCCCTACAGTCCTGCACAGTCCCCCCGACCTTCCCTGACCCCTACAGTCCTGCACGGTCTCCCCGACCTTCCCTGACCCCTACAGTCCTGCACAGTCCCCCCGACCTTCCCTGACCCCTACAGTCCTGCGTGGTCTCCCCGACCTTCCCTGACCCCTACAGTCCTGCACGGTCTCCCTGACCTTCCCTGACCCCTACAGTCCTGCATGGTCCCCCCGACCTTCCCTGACCCCTACAGTCCTGCGTGGTCTCCCCGACCTTCCCTGACCCCTACAGTCCTGCGTGGTCCCCCCGACCTTCCCTGACCCCTACAGTCCTGCGTGGTCTCCCCGACCTTCCCTGACCCCTACAGTCCTGCATGGTCTCCCCGACCTTCCCTGACCCTACAGTCCTGCGTGGTCTCCCCGACCTTCCCTGGCCCCTACAGTCCTGCGTGGTCTCCCCGACCTTCCCTGACCCCTACAGTCCTGCACGGTCTCCCTGACCTTCCCTGACCCCTACAGTCCTGCGTGGTCCCCCCGGCCTTCTCTGACCCTACAGTCCTCCGTGGCCCCCCCGACCCTCCCTGACCCCTACAGTCCTGCGTGGTCCCCCCGACCCTCCCTGACCCCTACAGTCCTCCGTGGCCCCCCCGACCTTCCGTGACCCTACAGCCCTCCATGGGCCCCCCCGGCCTCCTCTGGCCCTCTGTAGCACCCCCCTGAGGTCTGCCAGCTCTGCCTGTCCAAGAAGGCCTCCAGGGTCAGGGAGAGGGAGAGGGTGGAAGGTGGGCTTGCTCCTTGACGGGTCTGTGTTTGGCCGCCTGGTGGGGTGCTTCCCGGACTCAGGCCCGCTGTGGGGACAGAGCGGCAGAGAGGCCAGGCTCCAGGCGGTGGAAAAACCAGCAGAGGGACGGAAGAGAGGGAGGCTGAGCGCGGCGTCCTCCAGCTGCTCAGGTCAGAGGAGGGTAGGACGGGCAGGCTGGGAGGCTTCCTGAAGGAGGTGTCCCGCGTCCCCAGTCAGGGGCCGTGACCTTAAGATCGAGTCCACACTTGGCTGCCTCTGCTGCAGGTGCAAACCAAGCCTAGGGATCGCCGTGGGGCGGTTACAGCCGGCTCCGCCCTCCCTGCAGTGGCGCTGGGAGCCGTGTTCATGCAGAGAGGCCGTCCTCCAGGCCCCGGCCACAAAGATGGCACGGGTTGAGGTCTGGAAGACACAGTGGGCCAAGTCCTGTGGGTGCCTCAGCTCCCCAAAAGCCCTCAGCGTGCTGTGGCCAGCAGGAGGGTCCACCGCAGGCCAGCGCAGGGCTGAAGGGTGAGAGCTGGCAGGCAAGGCAGGCTGGGATTAAGTCCTTGCTCTGACTGTGTGGTTTTGGCCAAGTTACTCAGCATCTCTGAGCCTTGGTTTCCTCATCCATCGCAGGGGAACCCAAGGAGAGTCTCCCTGTTGTGGTGGCAGAGGGTCCAGGAGGGCGACATGTGTGAGTGAGGGCCCCCAGGCCTGCTGCCGTGGTGACGGCAGGTCCTCCGAATCGCATCCTCGGCTCCTGCCCAGCGGGACGGGCAGTGGCCTCAGGCGTCCTCCCCGGCCCCAGTGTGTGCATGTCATCTCCTATGGGCCAGGCGTGTGGGCAGGTGGGCCCAGGGCGGGCGGCCCGTGTAGGTAGCGTCCTGCGGCTCCGCGCTGTGCATCTCCAGCAGGTTTCTTCCCCTCTCTGGGCCTCAGAGCTCCGCAGGCCCGCTGCTCCTCCAGGCAGCAGAGGCAAGAGGCAGCTGACGCTCCTTCCACAGCAAAGGAGCAGGCCCCAGGGCCACCAGGGTGCCCCGTGGGTGCGGCTGCCAGGCGGACCAGCCCCCCAAGGGAGGAGGCCCAGGGCTCGGGGGCCTGCGGGGCCCACCTATTTTGAAATGAGGTGGAGGGCTGGCTGGGGCAAGGAGCATGCATCCCAGCGGGCCTGGGGGCTCCTGTGTGCCCGGGACCAGGGCCAGACTCCCTCCCCCCAAACTCCAGAGCCCTCTCAAGTGGCAGGTTTTGCCTGCAGGGGATGGAGGGGGATGACAGGTGTCCCAGGACCAGCCTGGCCGTGACTCAGCTACCAGCGTCCAGGAAAGAACGCTCGCGTGGTGAGGGGAGTCAGGGGCAAACATACCTTCGCATTGAGACAGTATAATGATGAGCAACGACAAGCACATATTTTATCAGCAGGTGGGCTGGGCTGGGCGCCGGCCTGTGGGCGTCCACCTGTGAGGTCCGAGGGACGCGGAGGCCCCGGGGTGACGGGCTCGCCCCTGCAGCCTCCGAGTCCCCTCCCGCCCCGTCCCCTCCCGGCCGGGATACCCCTCGGTTCTCCCGCTGTTTCCACGCTGCCCGGGGCAGCCTCAGCCTGGCCTCCCGACGGGGCGGGGCTCTTGGGACAGCTGTGAGTTCAGGATGGGGGCTCTGTTACCCCTGCTCTTGGGTTTGGTGAGCTGGCGCCTCTGTTATCCTCCCGGCAACACCCAGGTGCTTTCTCATAAGGCTGCGGTTGCACTTCTCGATGTGGCCACGAGGTGTCAGGCTTGGGTCAGGTTTGGAAAGCTGTGCAGGGCGCGGGAGTCAGGCGCCAGAGTCAGCCCCCCACTGCCGCCCCCACTGGTTTCCGGGACCCTGCCCGAGGACGGGGCTGGGGGCGGGCTGGGGGGAGCGGCCCCGAGCACCCTGCTCTAAGAGCCTTTCAGTAATCTGACGGATTGTATTCAGGTATAAACATAATGCAGTTTTCTCTAATTCTCAGAACACGGTGGATGCTTCAGGAAGGCGTCCCGGGCTCAGCGGTGCTTGGGTCACCCACCTTCCCACAGGACCTCCCTCCACCATCGGTTCTGTAATGCCAGGGCGGGGGCCTGATGAGAGCCTCAGGTCCGATGCAAAGGTGCAGAGCCCACCTGAACCCCAGCAGTGCAGGCTCTTCCCTTGTGGGAAGTCACCCCTCAAGACTTTCCGGGCGTGCGCTGTAACTCTAGAAGTGGCCACCAGGTGTCAGCATGAGGCCACTTAAGCCGCCAAAGGGAGGCAACTTGCAGCTGGGGCTTTCTAAGAGTCTCCCAAGTCTCTCCTGCATAAACAGGATTTGACCAGAACCCTAGGCCGGGGTAACCCCCTCCCAGGCCTAAGAGACAGTGGGGCAACAAGGCTTATGTCGTGAGGTGTCCCTGGCACCCCAAATGTGCCTCTTCCGTCCCACTGCGTTGTCTCCCCGTAGACCTTGGGTGGTAAGTAGAAGGTCAAACTGAAGGTCACAACCCTCACAGCCCCTTTTCCTCCAGTCCTGCCTCAGCGGCACCGAGCTGTGGCCAGTCCTCCTGGGGGCCTCCCCACCCCGAGCCCCTTTCTCTGCTCCCTTCTTTGCTTAAACACTCTGGGGTTCCAGGTTCTGATGGAGTAAAATCGCCCTGCACGGGTGTGCTCCCCTCTGGGGCTGTGTCAGAAATGGGGATCTGGACTAGGGACAGGGCTCAGATCCAATGCATTGGTTTAGGGGTGGGGGCCCCCCATTTCCAGGAGTTAGATCTGTGGGTCTGAGATGCTTCTCCCCTTTCAGCCCCTTAGCTGCCCACCTTCTTGATGCCTTTTATTTTTTGGTCTTTCTTGAATTTGTTACAATATTACTTCTGCTTAATGCTTTTGGTCTTTTGGCCTTGAGGCATGTGGGATCTTAGTTCCCCTGACGGGGGACTGAACCCGCAAGCCTTGCACTGGAAGGCGAAGTCTTCACCCCTGGACCACTAGGGAGGCCCCTCACCTTCTCAGTTCGGGGATACCCCCCTTGGTGGGCCTCTCATGCAGCCTCATTATCTGGCACGGGGTCAGCCTTTTCCCCTCACTGGCCCCACCTTAGTCGTGGGAAGCCCCAGCTAAGGCTTCCCGTATGGATTGGCAAGGAGCTCCCTTGTGACATCTGGGCATCTTGCAGCAGACACCAGGGGGTGGGGGTGTGTGGCACACGCTGTGAAAACTCTAAGCCACAGAGTCCCCAGACAGGGCCAGAGTGGCATGAGCAAGTGACTGCTGCACCCCCAAAATTGTGAGGTGTTTCACACACTGACTCCCCTCTGTGTGAGATGGGCCTGACTCAGGACCTCTACCACCCTTGCATTCCTCTCCTGCCCAAGAGCCCAGAGGATGGTACGGCTCTGGGACTTCTGCATCTTGTTTAGGACACTCCTACCAGATCTGAGTCCCCCCAGCCCCAAGTCTGACTCTCTTCCCCACTGAAAGCCCTGTCCTCCTATCAGATGGCCTATCCCTCCAGCTAAGAAGGGAGTTTAGATGAGGGCTTGAAAGATGAAGGGAGGGGAGAGAATTAAACGCCAGCCCAGGCTCGCAGGCTGGGGCACGGGGACACAGGCAGGGTGGGGACCAGCGACCTGCAGGGAGCCACACACACCTTTGCCTCCGGACGCACCTTTGCCTGCCTCCTGCTCTACCTGAAGGCTCTGGGAGGAGATTTAAGTTCCCAGTGAGACTTGGTCCCAGCTGCCTGGGGCTTCACCCAGCTGTTGACACTTCTGGGTCCCAGGCTCAGCTGGAGTTCTGGCCAAGCTCAGAAGGTGGTGGACCCTAGTCAGCCGTCCCAGGGGTGCCTGTGAGCAGGACGTGTTGCTTGCTACCTGCTAGTCCCACTTGCTGCAGCACGCTCAGGGCCTTGCCCCACACCTGTGGGGTGGGGGGGGTGTCAGAGGCCACCAGGGGGAGAGAAAGCCCCCAGGCGTGCCCCCTGCCTCGGGAAGAAGGACAGACCTGGCCGCGCTGTGTTGCAGCTGCATTGGGAGCCGCTGAGGGGAGATTCTTCTGACCATTCTCGAACCCTGATTTTCCCCCAAGATGGCCCACCCCCATTTTACCCGTGCCACGCCCACTGGCATTCCCGGGGGGTGTCAATCAAGGGAGGACACGCCCACCCTCCACCCCCCTCGACAAAGCCCCACCTCCCAGCTGGCAGCGAGTACTTTAGGCTAATGCCCATGCCCACTAACACCTTTCTGCCAGGCTAAGGGTGGGCCACGTCTCCACCCCCGATGCCCTCACGTGGGAAGGCGCCAGGGCCAGCTGCTCCAGCAGGCCCAGCACCACCAATGGTGCAATGCTGCCTAAATGTGGAGGGGCTTGGGGAGCGGCGTGGGGTGGGGATGAGGTGAGGGGCACACTACAGACCCCGTTGGCATTTGGGCAGGCGCTCCATGGTGGACAGGCGCATCTTCTGGGGGCCATTACAATGCACGCTCTCAAAGTGGCCTTCACCGTCTCTCCAGCCTCAGCCTCATCCCCCTTCTCTGCCTCCCAGTCAAGCCTGCTGGAGGGTCTGAGCACCACAGCCGGAGCACCCCCTGCCTTGGCAGCGACCGCTACTATTGGCCCGGCCAGCGGATCACCTGCCCGGCAGTTCCCACAGAGAGCCTGGGGCATCAGTGGCTTCCGGTCTTCTTCACCCACTGCCCGGGAGCTTTGGGGGCAAGGCAGCGGGTGCCTGGGCCCCCCTCCCTCGCACGCGTCCCTCTGGGTACTAAGAAAGCTGCCTTCAGAGGCCGGAGCAGGGGGCGAGGGGCAGTTAACAGGAGGGGGAGGACCCGTGCTGCCAGAGGGCTCAGGAGAGCTCCCACTTTGGAGGGGACAGGACAGGTGGGAAGCAGACCCCTCAGGGGAGCTGCCTAGAGCCACAGGGGCTTTTGCATGGGAAATACGTTTTCCTTCACTGAGCTGGCAAAATGGGAGGGGTGGGCTGGAGCGTAGGGCCTCTGTCTTCTGCGTGAGGGCACAGCTGCTTTTGGAAAAGTAAAAGGATTTTCCTGCGTGAGAGGTTCCCTCTGGCTGCGCCCCGCCTTCCCCAATCCCAACCAGAGACAATCAGGATGCTGCAGCGGGGCTGAGGCTCCGAGGTTTGGGAGTTTTTTCTATACCCCCTCTCTCCCCACTCCATACACCGCCCCTCCCCCAGAGAATCCCACCGTGTAATTGGAGAGGATGGTGAGAAGGACCAGGAGGGGTGCTGCCCCTTGGGGTCCCGGAGCAGAGTCTAAAGAGGCAGGCCTCTCTCCTGCTGACAGTGTCCCGGCTGCCCTGGACCCCCTCCCAGCCTCCCCTGCCCTGGGAGCCTTTTGTTTTGTGCGTGGAGTGTGCCCCTCCTCCACCCAGACTCCCCTGTGTGCATGTGGGGAAGCGGCTCATTTCCCCAGAGGAGCACAGCCTCCCACCACCCTCAGCTGCCTTCCCGTGGCAGAGCTCTGTGCCTGGCTCCCTCCTTGCTTCCATTCGAGGTGGGAATGTGGTGGGGCAGAGGGGGGAGTTATGTTGTGTGCTGTGACCCCCGAGGCAGGCTGTCTGTGTGCGGCCACTAGCCCCGAAGCTCAGGCAGAAGTCCACCGCAGGGAGGGGCAGCCTGTCCCATGGACGTGTCTCCAGTTGCTCCGTGGGACCCTCTGCAGGCCTGGCCTCAGGGAAGCCCAGCTCTGGTGCGCTGTGGACACGTTTCCCCCTCCCTTCTTCAGAAAAGGCAGCGCTGGGGACCCAGAGGGACAGGCAAGGGAGCCGTCACCCAAACCCTGACAAGGTGGCCCGAGGGCCTCTCCGCCTGACAGCCAGTGGGGGGGCAGGGGCCAGGGCCCTGGCTGGGTGTGTGTGTGTGCACGCGTGTGGATTTGTTTTAAAAGACGCCGGCTTAGGAACACCCCTCTGCTCTCCCCCAGGGGACAAAGAGTCGCTGCCGAACTTGAGGAAGAGAAGGTGGCCTCCGGCTCCCAGCCCCAGGGCCCCACACCCACGCCAGGTCAGCCCTTTGCCCAGGCTGCCCCCCTGGCCAGAGCCTGCAGCCGGCCAGAAACCCCAGCCCAGAGGTCAGCTGCTGTGACCTGTGGCTCCCGATCCCCACCCGCTCAGAACCGAGGCCAGCGGCCCCAGCCCTCAGAGGTGAGTGCTCCGGACACCCCCAGGCAGGACTGCGTGCCGCAGGCTCTGGACAGTGGCCTGCTGTCCTCCAGGGCTCAGAGCCCCACCTCGGGAAGCTCCCGTTGCCATCACCCCTTTCACAAAGAGTGGAGCCTCCAGGGGGCTGGGTTCGTATCAGGGTGACACAGCTGGAATCTGGGGTTCAGATGGTTGGCTCTTGGGGGCTCAGCTGCAGGCAGAGCAGGCCCCCTGCCCCCTGGGCAGCGTGGTCCTCAGAGGGGGACTCCTGGTAGAAGGACAGAGGGACGGGGAGGGGTGCAGCCCAGGGGAGAAGCAAGGGTGACGGGTGAGGACAGAACTGGAGGAAGGAGCGTGCAGGCAGAGATCTCCAGCAAGTTGGGGAGGAATCCTGGGAGGCCCCCAGAAAGCTGGGCTCAGCTGGCCATGCCAGACGCGGCCCTCCCTGCCCTGGGCCGCTGCTGTGGGGCCTCACATGGGTGGTTTGACCTCTCTGTGTCCCCATCTGTCAAAGCACGAGGACAGTCGCAGAGCTAGTGGTTACTGTGTGGTAGAATGAGGCTTCCTGTGTGTGCCTTGGGGGACGAAGGGGACGCTGGAAAGGCTGGGGGGCAGCCAGAGCCTCCTCTGATGCTGCTGGATGGAGCCGGGGTGGGGGCAACAGGCTGAGCTGCCCCAGAGCGGGACTTGCTCCAGGGTCTCTCTAGAAGCGGAGGATGGGGGCTGTGTTCCCAGTCCTGACCCCAAAGCCACGGAGGTCACTCTTCAGGGCCTGCCGTGGGGGACCCAGTAGGTGCCCCCTTGCAGGCCAATTTGCCTGCCGGAGAGAAAGAGAGAGACCGAGAATGTTTTTCAAAGGTGTCTTTAGTTCAGATGCTACATAGAATGGTACAACAGTGGCCACGCCTGGGTCCTTGCAGCTTGGGGGCCGGTACCCCACACTCCTACACACTGCCGATGTTGGTCTGTTGATCAGGGGCTGGTGGTGCCTGGGGCCGGGGTGACTTGTGCCATCGTCGGGTCCTGGCATTCCATCCAGCTGGGGCCTGGGTCCCCGGGGCTTCCAGCCCAGCTGCTGGGAGCAGGCGCATCCCTCGGGCATCCAGTGCAGGGTCCTCACCCCCGGCGGAGCCGGTGCCCTGTGGGGGCTGAGGAAGGGGGCGCTCAGGGGACTCCTGGAGAATGAGCTGGGTTTGTAGAATGCTGGGCTTGGTCCCAGGGAGGTGGGGAGCGGCCAGCTCTGAGCCAGAGCCGGGGGAGGAAGCGGGGAAAGGGAAGGCAGGCTGCAGGGCAAGCGGGAGCAGGGAGCCGCCGCAGAGCCGGAGCCTGGAGCCAGGTCGGGGCGCGGGGCTGGGCTTCCTGGGGTGAGTCCGAATCTCCGGGGATGACTGTCCTCTTGGAATATGGCTGGCACATCAGTGGGGGAACCAGGGCTGCTGCAGAGCTGGAGGGAGGGGCAGGTGATGGTGCTTGGGGTCGAAGTTCCCACCAGCCAAGCCCTGTGCTGGGGGAGACCCCAGTCCCACAACATACCAGGGCTGTGCCCTTCCTACTGTGGTGGGGGACCAGAAGTTGGGGCGACCTGGGCGGCTGGTCCCGGCTGGGGGTGGCCAGTGCCCATTCTGAGCCCCACGGTGACCTGGGTCTGCCCCCCACAACCCTGCCCCTTTAGCTGCACTCGTGACTAAGTGAGGCGCGGGCTAAGCGTGCACAGGAAGTGCCTCTGTGCCCCCCGCCCCCGGCCCGTGGCCGGGGCCAGCACCCCAGGGTAGCCTCTGCTTTCCTACCTCCAAGGTCCAGGCACGTGTCTCCAAGCACCGGGCCGCAGCTTCTCCAGGCTGGCGCCTGTTCCAGACTGAAAACAGGGAAGGGTCCCCAAAGGGCACACCCCCCAGCATGAAGACGCCCAGAAAGCCCCACGGACACACACCTCACCCCGGCCCCCGCCGCCCCCAGCCTGGGAAGCAGGCCTGGAGGAGAGGTGGGGAGCAGGAGAGGCAGGGCCAGGGAAGCAGAGACCCTCACCCGCTCTGGGGTCCCAGGGAGCTGAGGTCTGCAGACAGACACTTTAAAAACACTCCTCACCCCCAAATGCACAAGCTGCCGAAGACTGGGCAGCCACTCTGCCAGGCTTCCCGGGGAGCCCCCTCCTCACCCTCCCTTCCACAGGCGCAGGCCTGACGCTGGGGCCTGGGACTGCAGAAGGCTGGTGGGGAGGGAGCGGGGCAGTGATGGGTGGGGGGAGACAGGCCAGATGTTCTTGGAATGGACACGGGGTGATTGATGTGGACTGGAATTTGAAGGGGGAACATTCCCCACGTGCCTTGGGCTCCGGGTGGAAAGTGGGCTGCTTTTTTCATGGTGGGGGGGGTCCTCCCCGTCTTGCCAAACTGCTCTGAAAGAGCTGCCTCAGCCCTGCCCAGTCCCCACACCTGTCCAAGGGCATTAACCCCTGCCTCTCCAGAAGGTCAGGCTTTGGGATGCCCCCTTTCTAGCTAGGGTCCCTTTGTGGGGTGACCATGGGGACAGGTAACGGCTGGTGAGCTGGTCCTGAGGCCCCATCATCCTGCTGCCCCCAGCAGCACCCCCTCGCTGGCAACACCCTCAACCCACAGATGCGCAGGAGGCAGCCGCCCCCCACCCGAAACATTGTCTAATTCCGAAGGGGTGATCCGGTTCCCACCAGTGCGTGGGGCTGGGTAGGGTTCAGCGTTCCTCTTGTTTGTCTTAAGGAACTAGACTTTCACAGCCGGGAGAGGGAGGCTTGCCGTGAACATTCTCTTAGAGAAAACGAAAGGAGACCCCTGACCCCCGCCACCATCAGTCCTGTCTCCCCCCGTCCCCCATTCTCCTCCTCTTCCCCAGTCCTTCAACTCTCTCGCGTTATCAAAACAAAATTGGGTTCGCCCTCGTCGAGGGGCCCGAGAAGGCCCGGACGGCGCTCATGGAGCGCCGGGGGTGAGCGGGCACGGCCGCCGGGGGTGCTCCGGGGCCCCCCAAACCGAGCCGGGGACGAGCCTGCCCGCGGCGGTCGCCGGGCCGCGGCTTCGCCTAGGCTCGCAGAGCGGAGCGCGTGGGGCGCGGCGGCGGCGGCGGGGAGCCCGCGGGCCTCCTCGGAGGCAGCCGAGCGGGGAGCCCAGAGCCCCCCGGAAAGCCAGGGAGCAGCGCCCCGTCGCTCCCCCACCGCCCCGGCGTGCCTCCCTTTCACCCGACGCGCTGCCGCACGGAAGCGCTCTCAGGGGCAAGGAGGCAAAATCGGGAGAAGCGACGACGTGCCAGCCCCGCCGGGGCGGCAGGCGTCCCAGGGAGCCCCGCGTGCCGCCCTGGAGCCGCCGCTGCTGCGCGCAGCCCGTGCCCCGATCCCCGGGGAGGGCGCCGCCGCTCCACGCGAGTCGCCGGGTCAGTGGATCCGCAGCGGCGCGGTGATTCCCTGGCCGGAGCTCAGCCTGCCAAAACGAAGCTCTCCATCCCCAGGGTCCCAGCTCACGGAGCCACATCCCCCGCTCCTCCTGAGGGCAGACGTTATTTTATTTTTATTTTTTCTGGGCTTTTTCAAATTTAACATTTCCTCCCTGATCTCCCCCAATACATTCAGCATTTCCCCAAGTCACAGGATTTTGTTCTTCTTTTTTTGACATTAATTTCTGGGGACCTGAAAACACATAAGCCCCTACTGGCTTTTCCAGGTTTACACTGGTGACCTGGGTCCCCACACTTACTGGGTGCTTTCTCCCACCCAGGCTCCTAACAGTTTTACTGTACCCCCCCCCCCCCCCGCCCAGGTCCTACGGAGTTACACAGTGCCAAACCCTATTCAGAAAAATTTAAACATTAACTCCAGGTCCTGGGCTCAAGCTGACTCCCCAGGATGAACACGGTGTTTTTTTGGCATTAAGGCATCTTTCCCAAAGAACAGGACTCTTTTCCTGTGTCCCCATAATTTTGGTCGACAGGGGCTCCCAAGCTTACTGCCCCTGTCCCGGCTCCCCCTTGCCGAAGCCCTGTTCCTCCGCTTCATTAGAGTTTAGGACATAATCTGCTGAGTTCCACAAATTTATTGGCCCCAATCTGAGTTCCCTAAATTTTAGGTAAAGAATTCCAGGTCCCCCCACCCCTGCCACCCCCTCGCAACAGACTGATCAATTTCCCCAGAACCCTCAGAGTTGGAAGGTTGCTGCCTACGCCTCACCAAAATTTATGCATTAAATCCAAAGCACAGTGACCCTCTTTTTGAATCATAAACAGTCTGTGCTCTGATTTCCTGAGTTCCACAAAATTGAGAAGATGGTTTCTGGCCCCCAAAACTCACTGAGCAATTTTTTTCGTGGGTCATAAAGACATGGGGCATTCATTTCTGGGGCTCTCCAAGCTTCCTTGCCACTAGTCAGGTTCCTTGACATTTAGACACTGTTACCCAGGCCCCCAAACACACAGCACTTATCCGTTGTGACCGTGGGTCAGGCCCGTCCCCCCAAATCACGCATCTCTCAGGTCCTCCAGGTCAAGCCAAGCACAAAACAAACGCTTGCACAGAGCCTGTATCTTGTTTTACCAAACTCTTTTGAGTGTCCCAGTAACCAAATATTCTGAATATTTTCTCCGCCTCATAACATTCTGAATATTAAAAAATTCCCTGGGCCCCACAGGCTTACTGACAAGAATCCGGGTTTCCTAAAATTCAGAACTGATCCCAAATTCCAGGCCAACCGACTGGACCTTTTCCCGGTGCCCTGTGTGTGGACACACTGGACTCTCAATATTGGGCATCACCCTCTCTAAGCTCCCCAGACACATGCAGTGTCACAGAAAGGCACTGATTTCTCGGGCCCAGAGCATTTCTCCAGGCACTCACTGAGTCACCCCAAATTCAGTCAACATTTCCTGGGTCTCAGACACTGCCAATCTTCTGTAGACCACCAGGCCCCACCGCCTAGGAATTCTTAATCCTTTCCCCCTAAAACTTCGATATTGACCCTCTGTTCTCCTGGGGACTTTGAAAGACTTCTTTGGATCCCCAGATTCAAAAATTATTTTCTGGGGCCTCTGAATTGTGATGCTGCCTGCTAGCCCTTCAAAATAAACTGAGACTTTTTTTCCCTTCTCCACAAAACAACTGAACTTTTTTGAACATTGATTTATGGGTCCCCTGATTTTATGATCCTTACTTACCCTGAGTCCTCCTAAATTTAGGCAATTTTCCACAGGCCTCCCAAAATGAAATTGCCCAGATAGTGAAAAATACCCCCAGGTCCTGGAAATCTCAGGTATCACAGGCCTACGTCCTACAAGATTCCTTGCTATTAACCAGGTTCCCTGAAATTTAGATATGTCTCTACTGAACAATTTCCATGGATCCCCCACACGTGGGCCATATCTTCCTAGGGGGTCGCCAAATGCAGACAGTGCCCAGGAAAATATTTTTTTTTCCTGTTCACCAAAAATAAACTAATCAAAACCAATTTAAAAATTAAAACATTAAAAAGATATTGATTTCCCGCCTTCTCCAAATGTATTGATCACACCCCAGGTTGCCCCAAATTTAGATCGTGTTTCTTGAGTTTCTCAAGGACATTGAGAATTTTCCCAGAAGCCACAACAATTATGGAAGTTACTTTGCTCGGGCGCTGCAAGCGTACACTAACCTGAATTTCTAAATCTTGGAAATGATTCTCCACTCTTCTCCACCGCACTTGGATCCCCAAGACCCACCCACTGTTTTTCTTCCCCGAATTTTAGACCCTTTGCCCTTTTGGAACCTCCCAAGTTCCACCCGGAGAATTTTGCTCCGGTCATGGTCATCCGCAGACCTACTGCCCTACAAATGGGGCTGTCCCACAAGCCTGCTGACCTACATGCCCGGGTCCTCACAGTGTAGACTCGGCTCCCCTGTCCCCCGGCTGCTCGGAGCAGCCTCCACGGCCCCCAGACTCGGGTTCTTTTTCTGGTTCTTTTTCTGGAGTCCCCGACGCACCCTCCCTTGGGTCCCCGCTTCAGGACCTTCGTTCTCTTTCTTGCAAACCAGTCGGCTCCGCACTGCGTTCCCGGCAGTTGGGCATTGCTCCCGGCCCCAGCGCGGTCTCTGCAGCTTCCGTAGCCCCGCGCCCCGCGGGCACCGGTTCTGGGCCTCTCCGCGTCTGCTACGAAGTCCCCGAAGCTCCTCGGATGCGGGAAGTTTCTCTCGCCCTCCCCACACACACTCGATCGGGCAGTGTGTCCGCCAGGACGTAGGCAGGGCTTCTCCCGCGTCCAGGAGAACGACTGGGCATTGCCCCCAGTTTCCCCCAAATTTGGGCATTGTCCCCGGGTCTTGCAACGGACTGGGCGTTGCCCCCGGACACTGGGGACTGCCCCCGGGGTCTTGCTCACCTTCTGCGCGTCCACCGCTCGTCGTAGAGCGCTCTCTCGCTGCCTCGACTCCTCCGCGCCCGCGGACGCAGCCTCGGCCTCCAGCCTCGCGGTGAGCTCCCCGCCGCTTCGCGTCCCGGCCTGGCTCCCAAACCCACCCGCCGCCGTCCCGCCGTCCCGAGCGGCTGCCGGGGACAGCGGCACGGGGCGCGGGAGCCGTGCGGCGGGCCAACCCCTCGGCCGCCCCGCGCGTTGGGTCGGGCCCCGAAGACCCACGCCGCTTTCCTTTGCTCTGTGCAAAGATCACAACGGGGGGAAAGCGCCTCGGCGACCTCCAAGCGGGGCCGACAGGGCGCAGGGCAGGAGGGACGCGGAGGAGAGGCGCACCCCCGCTCAGGCGGCGCGGCGCCTCCAGCCGCCCGGGCGCCTCCAGCCGCCGGGCGGAGGACTAGGGTAGGCGCGCGCCGAGCGCGGGAGACGTGATTGATGGCGGAGCGAGGGGGCGAGCTGGACTCGGGCTTCCGCCGCCGGCGGCCCCTTCCCCTTGGAGGGGCGCGCGTGGTCGGGGCTCCTGGGGCGGGTGGGGCGCGGGGACTCGTGCGTGGTTTTGACTTGGTAAAAAAAAAAATCACCCCGACTTCTTACATCGTCCAAACCCTCTAGGAGATGGTTTCCCCAGACCCTCAAGTGACCGTGGTGGCCCCCGGGGCTGAACCCGAATCTACGCAAGTCCAACGCATAGAGGACGGGGGAACCATTATCCGGATATTTTGGGTGGGCCCCAAAGGCGAGCTGCTTAGACGCACCCCGGTGAGCTCGGTCATGCAGGTAGGATTTGAACGACGTTTCCCGCCCTGCTCGTCTCGCCCCTGGCACACGGGCGCAGCCCGGGCCGGCCCCATGCCTGGCCCAGACTCGGGCCTGGCCGGGCTGGCCCTCTCCACGTACCGCACCTGGCGTCCGCCGAGGCTACTCCCCAGTTCCCGCGCGGCACCGGGGGGCGCTCGGGCTCCGGCTGCAGCTCGAGGTGAGGTGCTGTGCCTGCTCGGGCAGGTGGAGACTGCGAGCCTCGCCCGAGCCCAGAGACTCCCCGCTTCTCCAGCAGGTCCCGGCGGGTCTGGGGGGGGGACCGCCACCTGTGCCCGCACACACAGGGCACCCCCGCCGCCTAGCCCCCCGGTGGGGCGCGGGGATCCGGCCGTCGCTAGGGCATGTGACGCCGCCCACCCTGGTCGTCCCGGGTCCCCCGTGTACTATGTAGGGACTCTGGCACCCCGGAACCTCAGACAGGGCCCCCACACACTTTAGAATAGTGATTCTAGATTTCTTTCGAACTCTGAGGATCCCTGCCCCCACTCCAATCTCGTCCCCGCGCACCCCACAGCCCCCCCCTCACCGCTGCCCCCCGGGACCCCAAGCCTGGCCCCCCCTTGGCTCGAGTTGCAGAGGCGGTCCGGGGGCGGGGCGAGGACCCCTCGAGCGCCCATTGGCGCGGGCACTCGGCCAGCGGGGCCCGAGCGGGCGCCGAGCCGCGGGTGGCTCGACTATAAGAGCCGGGCGTTGGCGCCCAGAGTTCGCCTGCTCTCCGGCGGAGCTGCGTGAGGCCAGGCAGGCCCCCGGCCCCCCCTTCCGGCCGCCCTCGCCTCCTGGCCCTCGCCCGCCAGCGCCTCCACCCGGCTGGCGGTCCCGCGTCGACGCCGTCCGCTACGCTGCTGACCCCCATCTCGGGCGCCGTCGGCGGGGCCGGGCTCCGCCGGCCTGCGGATCCCCCGCCGCCTCCTCTTCGTCTACCTCAACGCCCGTCCCGCTTCGCCCGAGGAGGCGGTCCCCCCCGCAGGCAGTCCGGCTCGCAGGCCGCCGGCGTTGTCATCCCCCGCGCTCCCCCCTCCGGCCCTCCCCGGCGCGCAGCCCGGCCGCTCCCCCTCCTCGCTGCGTCCCGAGCGGCCCCCGGCGCCGCCACCGCCACCCCCCCCCCGAGGCCCGGGCTTGCGACGGCCGAGGGCTCCGTCGGCCCAAGCCGAGCTGGGCGCCCGCGGCCCGGGTGACGCCTCCGCTCCGCCCCCCTCAGCACCTTCCCCGGCCCCCGACGTTGCGCCCTTTCCTCGGCTTCTCTGCGCTCCCCGGCCCCTCTCCGGCCTCTGGTCCCGGCCCCCCGTCTTCTTCCGCAGCCTTCCCTTCGCTCCCTCCCGTCCCCCCCAGCTCCTTGCCTCCAACTCCCTCCCCTTCCACGCCCGCCCTCTCGCCTTCGCCGTCCCAAAGTGGATTAATTATACGCTTTCTGTTTCTCTCTCCGCTGCTCTCTCCCGCTGTGAGCCTGCCCGCCTCTCGCTGTCCTCTCTCCCTCTCGCCCTCTCTTCGGCCCCCCCTTTTCACGTTCACTCTGTCTCTCTCACTATCTCTGCCCCTCTCTGTCCTTGATACAACAGCTGACCTCATTTCCCGATACCCTTTCCCCCCCTAAAAGTACAACATCTGGCCCGCCCCGGCCCGCAGACAGCCCGTCCTCCCTAAAGAATCAGAGAGAATTTATCCCCCCCCCAAAAAAAAAGCCATCCCCCCGTTCTGCCCCGTCGCACATTCGGCCCCCGCGACTCGGCCAGAGCGGCGCTGGCAGAGGAGTGTCCGGCAGGAGGGCCTTCGCCCGCTGTTCGGTTTGCAATACGCAGCAGGAAGGTGGGCGGCCCCGTGCCGGCTTTCAGGTAAGCGGCGTGCGGGCCGGGCCCGGCGGGGCGGCGGGGCCCGGGCAGACGGGGCTGGGGGGCTGGTGGTCCCGTTCCCTGGGGCGAACCCCGCGCTCTCCCCTGCGCCGCGGAGGAAGGGGCGAGGGGTGGGGGCGGGGGAGGGACTTGGGGAGCGCCGGGGGAGGTGTGAGCTCTGTGCACGGCGACTTCCTGGTCGCCTTGCGGGTGCAGGGGGCTGTTACTCAAAGTTTGTGATTTGTGCCGTGCGGGGGCAAGGGCGGGCGTGGGAGGGGGAGGGGGCGGCGGCCGTGTAATGAGAAGGGGCGCAAATCTCAGAAACCCACCCTGGTATGTTGACTCCTTGCCAGCAAGACCGAGAGAGGAAAACTGGGTGGGCGGGGCCAGGATGGAGCGAGGGGGGCCGAGTTGGCAAGAGAGTCCTGCCAGACGCCACATTCCCTCGGCGCCCCCCCCCACCGCCTCCCGCTCTCGGTCCCCGACATTTCCAACCAGGAATCTGGGTGGAGGGGGGGCTGGTCCAGGGCTCAGAGGGGCCCGGAATGGACCGTCCGGAGAGGGTAACTGCCCCTGCCCCCGTGGGCAGATGGAAGTTTCCATACAAGGAGGTGGAAAGCAACCCCCTCCGGAACCGCCCCCCCCCCATTTCCTTGTGCCGAGATGGGCTGGGGGTGCAGGAGGAGCCCCCCTCCCCCGCCCTGGTACTTTGCTAAGAGACGCTGGGGCTAGCGGTTGGGGGTGCAGGAGAGGAGGGACTGGCTGGGAGGACGGAGGGGGCGGGAGCGAAGGGGGCGGGGGGAGTGGTCAGCTGGGAGCGGGGTGGGGGCAGGGTGGAGCCGGGGCTGGGAGGAGCCGGCCCAGACATAAAAGCTGAGGCACTGACCAGCCTGCAAACTGGACATTAGCTTCTCCTCGGAGGCAGCCTTCCAGCCACCTCCTCCTCATCCTCCTTCAGCCCCAGCGAGCCTCCTGTCCAGCTGCAGGTAACGCGGCTCTGGAGCCAGGACCCCGCTGCGCTGCGGCTCCCGCCCGCCGGCCGCAGCCCCCTTGGCTCCTGCCCGCGGCCCCTCACTCAACCCCCACCCCTCCTCCCTGCCTCTGCCCCCCACCCCTCCTTGGCCCACTGGCTCACCTGGCCCGCGTGGCTGCCTGCCTGCTGTCCAGTCTCGGCTCTCCACTGGTGTCCTGGACTGGACCCCACACCAAGTGGCTGGGCTTGCAGAAAGATGGAGTTGCCGCTCGGACAGCAGGAATTCCTAGCTGGCTAAATTTGCTTTCAGAATTTGGAGGGGGCGGCGGTGGGGCAGCAAGGAAACAGGCTGGGGTTTCGCCCAGCCAGGGGCGGTGGGCGAGGTGGCCGTTTAGATCTTCCATGGAGCTGGCCCCTGCTTGTCAGGAGCTTAAGCGAGACTGAGTTTCCTCCTCAGTCCTCTCATTTCCTACACGATTTATTGCATCAAAATTCCAGCATGCAGCAACCTTGCTCCAGGCTGGGAAGGCTGTGCGGCTCGGTGCCCCGTGTTCGCTGGGTGCAGTGTCTGGGACGGACGCGTGTGGGCAGCCCACCCGGGCCCTTGTTTGAGTAGCCTCAGGGTGACCGGGGCACCGGGCCGTGACTGTCCTCCCAGAAGGGGCTCATGGCTGGGCCTGCCTGCCTGGGGGGCTTCCACCTTTTGGACAGGCGGAAGTGGCTTGCTGTGTCTCAAGGGAAGCCACGGTCATTTACCCCAGTCTGCGGCCCTGCAGCCTTGTGAGGGGGTGTGTCTGAGGTGTGTCTCTTCCCCCAGATCGGCCCTGAAGGGACTTGGTGTCTGGCCCCCCGGGGGGGCCTGACCTGCTCTCTTCAGCTCTCTGGGTGGGGTTTGGCATCCCAAGAGGGGAGCGGCTCTGGTGTTCCTGGAAGGACTTTGAGGCCCCTGGCCATTGGGAGTGCGAAGCGAGGCCTGGAAAGGAGGCTTTTGGTTTTCATGTGTGTTTTGGGGACCCGAGGGAAGACTGGGGTCCGGGAACTAAGTGATGCCGGAGAACGAGGCTCCCGGGAGCATGGCTGGCACCCCGTGTCAACCACCAGACCCTTGACCTTTGCTCAGCCGCAGGCCGAAAGGTTGGGAAAGGCTGTCTGGGAGGGAGAGGCTTGGGGCCGGGACCCCCCGCTGTTGCCTGGGGAGGGAGGCTGGTCCTCCTGGCGCCCTTGCCCGGCTGTTCCTCTGGGATGCACATGTTCTGTGCCGGGGTGGGGCCCTCTGCCATCTTGGCTGGTGCAGGGAGGCCCAAGAAGTGGCCACTGCCTTGTGCTGGCCCCGCCCCCATGACTTCATAGGATGGAGGCCAGGTCCAGTGTCCAGCACTGGCCCCTGCCGCTCTGGGTGTGGCCAAGCCTCAGCAATAATACGAGGGGGACAGTGATCCCCACGTGAAGTTACTGGTGCCCATCAGAGAGGCTCCACCCCCAGCCCTGCCCTCGTCGTGGGGTGATTCTGCATCCCACCAGCCTCAACAGAGAAAGCTCTCGTTGTTCCTGTAATTAAAGCAATTAAGATTAAGGAGAAAGCCAGGCTTCACATCTGCAACTGGACTTGGACTTAGGAGGTGGCTGGGCTTAGGGTCCCAAAGGGAGCGGGCGGGCAGGTCCTGGCGGAGCCGTCCGGGGCCCTGCGGAGGGCGGGGCCGGCCCGGCGTGGCGGTGCGGGCGGCTCACGCCTCCGCCTCTCCCGCAGTCATCATCAATGGGGATCTCAGCGGGGAAGTCGGTGCTGGCGCTTCTCACCTTCTTGGCCTTCGCCTCGTGCTGCTATGCTGCTTACCGCCCCAGCGAGACCCTGTGCGGCGGGGAGCTGGTGGACACCCTCCAGTTTGTCTGTGGGGACCGCGGCTTCTACTTCAGTGAGTAGCTCCCTGGGGCCGGGGGCGGGGGCGCACACAGCAGGTCCTGCTAGATGCCGGGGTCCTCCCCACGCTCCTCGGTCACCTCTGCAGGTCCTCCAGCCTCGCCAGTTCGGGGCCGGGCCCAGGCTTCTAGCCACAGGACTCACAGTCCAGGGAGAATGGGCAGGTGTGTCCACAGGGGGTCAGACCTGAAGCAGCAAGTGCGGGTGGGGTGCGGAGGGGGCTGAAGGCCTGCCTCCGCTGGGCGGGGGGGCGGGCGCAGACAGCCCTTCCCCTCCTGCTTCTCCCTGACCTGCCCACGGGCAGAGCTGTGGGCACCGGCTTCCCGCACCTTTTGTCCACGTCTTAGCAATGGGCACGTATCCGTGGACTGTTAGATTTGAAATGGAATCAAATGGGTTGAACGCCATTAAGAATAAAAGCACTTGTCACTGAGGGTGTGAGTGTGCATGCTGGGGGATGCCTGGCTCCATCCACGAGCGGGGCCCGCTGCCCTGATGGGAGGCAGGGGGTCGGGGCCTGGGCGGGACCCACGCTCGAGGGCAGCACGTGGTGCAGGTGCCTGCCTGCTGGCCTGAGCGTTTTGGCTGGTTCTCATGGTTCCGGACCGGGGGCGCCTGGCTGGGCACACGGACCCCTCTGCCCCCCTCCGCCCTGGAGCAGGGCGTGTCCCCGATGGAGGCGACCTCTCCTTCAGCGTGGGCTCTTGCCCTCACCCCCCATAGCCTGGGCCTCCGGTTCTTTACACGTCAGGAGAGTGTCCACCTGGTTTCCAGGAGAAATGGGGGAGCAAGGGCAGCCTGACCCTCAAGGGGGGCCGTGTGCACTCCCTGGGCTCAGCCAAACGCCTCTCAGGGCCGTGGGGGGGGCGGGGGGCAGGGGGTGGGGACATGGCTGGGGCAGCCGGGCGAGGGCCATAAGGCTCGAACCCGGCCCACCACCTCCACGAAGCATCTTCCTCCACAGCTTTTACTTACCCACACTCTGAAATGGGCTGGAAACGCCCGTCTTGGCATGTCAGCGCTTTGCTCTGAAAAGCACACCTGCTTCTCCATGCTTCCGAGGCCCCTGCCTGCCCTGGCTTCTCTCCTGGCCTCTCTCTCTGCCACCCTTGGGGGCAGGAAGTGGCACCGCAGCGCCTAGTGCCGGCCGGCCCTGGCACAGGCTTGCCCCCCTGACAGGCGGGCTGGGCTGAGCCCCCAGCCCGTTTGACCCTGCAGCCGGACCCCTTACTGGGGGCTCCCTTCCCGCCCCCACCCCCACGGACGGCGGAAGGAAGGCGGGGACTTCACGTGGCCGAGTCTGGAGCCTGCGGTGGGGGGAGGGGAGGGCGGGAAGAAAGGAGGGCGTGGTCTGTGCAGCTCCTCACTCCTCTCCTCCCGTCTTCTCCTTCTTCCATTCCTGCCGGTCTCAGCGGGGGCGTCTCTAGGGCCGTGGGCGCCTGGGCTCCTGGTTGCTGCAGGGGCGCACCTGCATCCCAGCCGGCCTTCGGGCCGGGACCCCCTGCCATTCGAGGAGGAGGCACAAGGCGCCAGGGGCTGGTTCTGGGCACTCGCGCTCACTGTCCCTTCTGTCCTTTCTGGGGCCCACCTCTCGCTTCCTTCCTCCACTCCAGGCTGCAGCTGGCTGTCCTTGCAGGGCCACTGGGCGTCCTGTCCCAAGGGTGGGGGCGGGGGGCTGGCCGGAGGACCCCTGCCTCTGCCAGGGGCGGGCACTGACCTGTCCTCCCTTCCTCCTTGGGGGACCGCCAGGCCGACCATCCAGCCGCATAAACCGACGCAGCCGTGGCATCGTGGAAGAGTGCTGCTTCCGAAGCTGCGACCTGGCCCTCCTGGAGACTTACTGTGCCACCCCCGCCAAGTCCGAGAGGGATGTGTCTGCCTCTACGACCGTGCTTCCGGTGAGATGCCCGCAGCTCCGGCCCAGCCCCTGCCAGGGAACCCTCCCCTCTCTCCCCCCGCAGAGCCAGGGGACCAGGGCGCAGCCAGCTGCCTAGCTGAGAGGGTGGCCAGGGAACCCTTTGCACTCTGCCCCCCTCCCCCCTGGGGGCGTTGGCACTGGCCTGTCACACCTGCCGTCACACCTCGGGCACCTGGGGCAGTTTGGGCCTGGGCAGCCCCTGACTTGCTCTTCCTCTCCCAGGACGACCTCACCGCATACCCCGTGGGCAAGTTCTTCCGATATGACACCTGGAAGCAGTCCACGCAGCGCTTGCGCAGGGGCCTGCCCGCCTTCCTGCGAGCACGCCGGGGTCGCACGCTCGCCAAGGAGCTGGAGGCGCTCAGAGAGGCCAAGAGTCACCGTCCGCTGATTACTCTGCCCACCCAGGACCCTGCCACCCACGGGGGCGCCTCTTCGGAGGCATCCAGCGATTAGAAGTGAGCCAAATGTCGTAATTCTGCCAAGTGATACCATCTACCTCGCGCCGTCCTCCTGGCCGGGACCGCCCCACTAAGTCCCTCTCTGAAATCTCTGTACCATCCTGTCTGCGGGCCCCCCTATCCCAGCCTCTGTGCCCCAACCTCCCCACGTCAGGCGACACCCCCCTCGGCCCCCTCCACCTGGCCGAGGGGATCAGAACAACATCTCTAAAAATGTACAAAACCAATTGGCTTTAAATATCCCCCCAAATTATCACCCCCCAAATTACCTCCAAATTATACAACCAAAATTGCAATCATGAACCCCTCAATCAGCCCCCTTGAAACGAATTGGCTTTTTAACAACACCAGAAAAGCAAACCAGCTTTCCAAAAACTTCTAAAAAAAAAAAAAATCGATTGGCTGAAAAAAATACTAAAAATAAATTGGCTTAAAAACAATTGGCAAAAAAAAAGAATTCGGCCCCCCCCCCCTTCCTTCTCATTCCTTTTGGATCTGGACTTAAATTGGCTTTGATCTAATCATTGAAGAGAAAGGAAGGGGCCAAATTTGCAGGTAGGCTTGTCCCTGCTGGCCAGTCATCTCCCCGCCGCCGCCAGGCCCTCCCCGGGCACCAGCAGTGTGACACCAAAGACCCAAACCCGCTCCTCCTCCAAGTTTCCATCACTGAGACCATTATAGAGCAGTGAGGGGACCCCGTAAGACCAGAGGAGGGGAGCACGGAACAGAAACCCCCCATCGCGCTGGTAAAATTGAATTGGCAAAAATAAAATAAAATAAAATAAAATTGGCAAAACAACCCCACACTCCAAAATCTGACATCACAATCCTTACCTCAGAAAGCACACGCAACCCTGCACACACACACACACACACACACACACACATTCACATGCATCCATACACGCAACACACACATCCATGCAAACTCACACACATCCACACTCTCACATGCATCCATGCACGCGCACACACACACACACACTCTCTCACATGCATCCATGCACGCTCACACACACACTCTCACATGCATCCATGCACACACACACACATGCATCCATGCACGCACGCGCACACACACACACACACTCTCACATGCATCCATGCACGCACACACACACACATCCATGCAAACTCACACACATCCACACTCTCACATGCATCCATGCACGCACACACACACACATGCATCCATGCACGCACACACACACATCCATGCAAACGCACACACACACATGCATCCATGCACGCACACACACACACATGCATCCATGCACGCACACACACACATCCATGCAAACCCACACACACACTCTCACATGCATCCATGCACGCACGCACACACATGCATCCATGCACGCACGCACACACACACACACACACACACACACTCTCTCTCTAGGGACACCCGAGCCCAGCCTTTGTGCAGCTGAGACCGAATTCATCCCAAATTCTTTTCTGAGCTGCCCCGCGATGAGGTTTTCCTGTTCCGTGCTCCCCTCTTGTCCCCTGGGATGCACCATGGTGGGAAGGTGTATCTCGGGCTCAGGCAGGTGGTTCCATCTTTCCGAGAAGAGGGTGATCCCCACTTCTTCTCGGCACCTGTCCTGACCCCACAGCCCACAGATGTAAGTCCTGGGTGCCCCCAGACCCCAGGGGCATCCACGCACCGACCATCGTGCAGAGCAAGGAACGGTTTGGCCAGGCGGGAGATGGCTGCAGCTAAGTCAGACAAGCCCTACCACATAGCCTGACCCCCTGGGTGTGTTCCTGCAAGACCTGGGGAGCCCCCTCCCCCGAGCACACCTAGGGATCATCTTTGCCAGCCTCCTGGGGAAGCCTCTCAGAAATGAGGGGCCCCCCCGGAGGCTGGCAAAGGTGACGGGGAGTGTGGGAAGTCTGGAGGATGGCGGGGTGGGTGGGGGGCAGTGGGGGCTGGGTGGGGGGACATTCCTAGGCAGGAATCGGTCCAGCAAGATTTTGGAGAGAAACGTTCGGGGGGGAAGGAACAGCGAGGCACTTGCAGAATTACAGACAGAAATTAGAACCCAAATTGACGCCAATTGATCTATCTCCCCTCTTTAATTACTCCTGGGGCATCTTTCCTTTTTTTTTTTTTAATCCCTCCTTAGCTTTTTACGCGCTCATTTACCCACCCCACGTAACAGGGGGGCAGTGACCAAGGACGAGGAACACACACAGTCACCACCGTCACCCGCGGCCTTGCCGCCATCCTGCCCTCCGCCATTTATCGCCTTTTTTTAATTTTTTTTTTAATCTGTCCCTGTCGCTTGGGTTGAGTGGAGAGTGGAGCCTCTGTGGGGGTGCTGGCCACTGTGCCCCCCAGAGAAGTCAGGGGAATGGAGACGGCCGCTGCCCGGCCTGGCCCCCCGGGGGACAGTGGCTGGTCCCCGGAGGGTCCTGAGGGGCGGAGGAGGGGGCGGGGAGGCGTCTCTCCAGGTGTCAGGAAGGTGCTCGGTGGCCACCAAGGTGGGGCCCCTGGCCAGCCCAGCCGGCCAGGGGGGAAGGGGCTATGGATGTGTGAGTGAAGGTCTCCAGCGGGCGGGAGCAGGTGGCCGCCTTCCGCACACTTGGGGAGGCTCTCCCCGTACCCCTCGGGAACAGCTTGCCCGCCTCCTCAGCGCCCCGTCTTGCCCCCAGGAAGCTCGGAGCTCCGCAGGGCTTCCTGGCGTCCAGGCGGGGTGAGGTCGGGTGGTAGGAGAGGCCGGAAGAGCCGGGCCCCGCAGAGCAGAAGAGCTGCGCAATTTTCTGACCGCTGGGTCGCTTGGGCCCCGAGGCCCTCGGGTCTGGTGACACGACGCGGCCACCACTCTCGGCACCTCGGGCTGCGGCAGGGACCCGGGCGGCTGGGGGCTTACCTCACCCCCACCTCTGCCCCCAGCGCAGTCCCCCTGCACGGCAGCCCGACTAGTAGCTAGAGGCCCGACGCCGCGGGGCCCCGGTGACGGGGCTGACGCAACCCAGGGGGCGGTTGTGCCAGTCCACCCCAGACACAGCGGGCAGCTCTCCGTGGGTCAGCTCCATCCCGACCCGGGGCCCCTCCCGACCTCCGCGCCCAGCTCGTGGCCCTCCATCTTGTCTCTTCCCCGAGTCCCCCTAGCCGTCTTCAGCGGGACCCCCTCTTGGGTCTCTGTGCCATCACGCGAGGACCCCCACGCGCAGAACACCGAGTGTCATCATGCCCGCCGCCCCGTCCACCGCGCGGCCGTGTTCTCCTCCTCTTGCCCGTAACATGCTGTTTCTGGCAGAATCCACAGCCTGGGTTTTGTCTTTAACCTTTATTGCTCGCCATCCCAATAAAGCATTTAAAATTATTTCTTGAGTCCTCTGCTCTTTTGCTGGGGTGCCTGGTGGGGGAAGGGGGGGAGTCTGAGCCCTGGGGAGGGGGTGGGGTAGGTGGGAAGGGGGGCAGGGAGACCCTGGGAGGGGGTGCCTGCTCTGGGCCCTCACGGTGATGGGGTGTGGGGAGAACAGCTGGGCGGCCTGCTGCCCTCAGCAGTTGGGAGGGGGGCTCCGGGGCCATCTCAAGGTCCAGGTCCTCAGAGTCCAGGGGTGGCCAGGGTCCTGGGGGCTTTTGCAGGAGCTCACTGATGAGGAGCAAAGAGCCTTCACTGTTAGTCAACCCCAGGGAGCTCTCCCAACCTCGGGGGACAGGACATGGGGTGGGCCAGGCTCTGGAAGCTTCTGGAGACTGTTGCCGGTGCCAGAGATGGGGACTCGGGGCCACTCACACCTGGGGACTCTCATCACCTGCGTGCCCACCTGCACGAGCAGAAAGGAGCCCCTGCCCCCAAGACTGAGAAGCCCTCCCCTGCTCAGCCCTGCCGCACTTCCCAGACCCCTCTGACTTCTAAGTACCCATGCTCCTCGGAAGACAGTGAGGCTGGCCTAGAAATGCTCGAGGGCTGCCCACCACCCCCCACCTTATGTACCCTGGCACCCTCGGTCAGCAGGTCTGCCAGTGGGCACCCAAGGCTCTCTGCCCCATCTGGGTAGCAGACACCTTGCCTGTGAACCAATCACTCCCTCTCTGATACTTACCACTTGGCCTGGTGCTGGGCTGTGCCTCGGGGGTCTCGAGGGGTGTTCCCGGGGTGGCCACGCTGCCCATGCCCACTGAGAGCTCAGCGTTGGGGTGGGGAGCTGCCTGAAGGAGGTGGGATCAAGAATGATGGGAGAGACTGTGCTGGATAGGGGGCATCGTGAGCTGGGGTTGGGGTGTGGGCCCAGCTTGGGACCCTCTGCCCAGCGCTGCCTGCCCCTGAGACAAGCTCAGAGTTTGTCTCCCATCAGCCCTGTGCATGCAGCCCAGTGCGGTGCCCCTCCCCGGACCCTCGGGTTTCTGGGTCCAGGGTCTCCCTTCCCCCCCAGCTCCGGTCAGCCCAGCCTACTAACCCACTGCAGCGGAGTCACCCCTGCCTCTGCCCGCACCCCACTTCCCCCAAGACCCCCCGCAGCCTCCCTCTGCTGGGCAGCCCTGGGCACAGCCAGCCCTGCTCCAGCGCCCTCCTGAGTAGCCCCAGCGTTGGCCCGCTGCCCCCGCTGCCCCCGCACCTCTTGGCTGGGCCCAGCCAGGTCCCAGGTGCCCCAGTCTCCCCTTCCGGCCCCTCCGCCTGCTCTGCAAACTCTCAGCGCACCCCTAAGCCTCCATTCATCCACTCATTCCTCCATTCATGCCCACACGCTGCGCCCCAGCCTCGGCGTCATGGAGGCAGAAACTGCGGTGATTTTCAGGAGGAGAGAGTGACTCCGGAGTGTGGGCCTGGAGGAGGTGAGGGTGGCGTCTCCCGGGAGGAGGGTGAAAGCCTGGGCATCTCGGGCTGGGAGTGGGGCTGCCACGGGGGGGGGGTCCGCATGGGGGTGAGATCAGAGTCCCCTGACACTCAGGGACATTGGGGACCCCCGTGGCGGTGGGCTGGTGGGTTGAATAGTGTCCTTCCCAGAAAGACGCATCCAGTTCTAAGCCCCAGAGTCCTCGAATGTGCCCTGGTTTGGGCAAAGGGTCTTAGATGTCATGAAGTGAAGGGTCTGGCGATGAGACCGTCCTGGATTTAGGGAGGGCCCAGATCCAGGGACAGGACGGGGGAAGGACGCAGAGGAGGGGCCGCGTGAGGGTGGGGCAGAGACTGGGGGAACGCGGCCACAAGCCAGGAGCCCCAGAAGCTGGGCGAGGAAGGAAGGACCCTCTCCTGGAGCCTCTGGAAGGAGCCTGGCCCTGGACACCTTGGTTTTAGCCCAGTGAAGCTGACTGCAGGCCTCTGGTCTCCGGGACTGGGCGAGAATGAATTTCTATAGTCTTTTAGGCCATCCAGTTAGTGTCATCGAGGAAACGAGTTATGTGAGGGTTCTGCGGGGCAGAGTGGGGGTGGGGCACGCTGCCCTCCTGGTGGGTCCCCGCGTATCCCCACGCCTGACTGCCGCTTGGAGGCCAGGTGGTCTTCTGAAACATAGGCCATGCCCTGCCCCCTACAGACAAGCAGATTCCTCGTGATGGCTTGGCCCGGGGCTGGCTGAGCACACGCGTGGTGTCCCTGCCTGAAGGCCTGGGCGCTGGCTGCCTCTGCCTGGATTGGGACCGCTGTCCCTGCGGGCGTCCGGGCGCCCCTCGGGAGGCCCTCCCCGAGCACCCTCTCAGGAGCGCTCCTGCCCCCCGACCACCTGCTGAGTGAAGAGGACGAGGTGGGGTGCTGGAGGTGACCCTGGGCTTGAGTGTGAGCCCCAGGAGGGCCTGCCTTTGCTGAGCCGGAGGCCCTGGAGGAGCTTCCTGGCTGCTCACCCCACTGTGTCTCCCCATGGCATCTTCACCTGAGCTGCAAAGTGGCTCATGCCGGGGCCTGAGCAGCCCCCTCAGTACACGGCAGACCCCCGGCCCGGCGTGCTCACGGCTGCCACCCCTCACCTGCTCCAGGGTCCTCTGTCCCTCCCCCTCGGTCCGCGGCTGCCACTGGACCAGCCACTGGACCCTGCTGCCTCCAGCCTCGGTCTCTGCTCCAGCCACTCTCCATGTGTGCCTCGAGGCCCCTGGCCTGCTCTCCCCATGGGATCCTCCATGGTTCCCATGGGACCGGGCAAAGGGGTGTAAGCCTCAGGCCAGGCCTTCCTGGGGTTTTAGGCACCCAGCGCGCTCTGGCTCCTCGGGGGTCACGTCTCAGTCCCCACGCCCCCTTGCCGGGCTCCCGGGCTCCTGCTCTGCCTGCCCCCTCTCTGCCTCGCACCCCTCCGGCTGCACACAGCCTGACTGCTCCGCCTCCTGGGCTCTCTAACACCCTGCACGCTTTCCACTGCGCTCTGCTGTCCTGGCCCATCACTGCCCCCACCCCAGGTCTCTGGGGCCCGGAGCCGCCCCTCCGTGTAGACAGGGGGCCTGGCGTTCAGCCCCCTGCCTCTGTCCCCAGACCTGCCACGCCAGAGGTGCATCGTCCCGCTCACCACCAGGTCCTACCGAGCTCTCCGGAGCCCTCAGGGGAGCCCCCAGGGCAGAGCCAGCCAGGAAGAAGGCCCTGGAGCCTGGGGGCAGGGACCCCACCACACACCCCCCCGGGGAACCCCGGGGAACCCCTCGCCTCCCAGCCCGTCTGCGCCCCTCCTTCGGGGGAGAGTCCCGCCTTCCCACATGGCCTCATCCCTAGTAACCCGCGTCCACCTGCCCGGCGGGTCCTGGCTCCCAGGGTCCTCGCGTCCCCCTGGCCGGGGCCTGGTGCCCAGCGGGCACTCCCGCGCAGGTGTGGCCACCCCGGGCCGCCCAGCCCTACCTGCCCAGCCCCCTCTGGCCTCATTAGGGCAGCTCCAGCCTCTCCCTCCCCAGCCCAGCCAGCCCTGGCCTCCACGGACAGAAACCACAGAGAAAATGCCTGTTTGTGCCAGTTATGCCGAAAGCAAAACAGTTTGTGGTTTGTGACCCAAATTTTTTGCCTTTTTTTTTTTTCAGAACATAACAAAGCTCAAGACAACTCCCCCCACCCCCACCCCCCCAGGCAGACAGAAAGGATCTGTTTATACTGGCCCTCGCCCCAGGCCAGGCCCTCCGCGCTGGGCGGCCTCGCAGAAGGGGTGCGGGGCCTGGCCAAGGGGGGCACCCCCAGGCTGGGGTGCTGGGGGCTGAGGGAGCTCCTCCGTCTAGTTGAAGGGGGGTCCCACAGGCCTACACAGAGGACGCGGCAGGCTGACGGAGTCCCCGGAAGCCCCCACCTGAGTCTGTCATCAGCCCCAGGCCCCACCCCTTCTCACAGACCCATGGGATGGCCGGGTTCAGCCCATCATCCGCCTGCCCGCCCCGCATGGCACCCCCTTCTCCCAGCTCCTCCTTGCCCTAGCCCCCTGGGGGTTGTGTACCCTTGTCCAGCTCTGCATGGACACCACGGCGGGGGGCACGTCCTCTGTCCTGGGGGTGGGCGCCCGGGGAGGCCTGTGTCCGCAGAGTGGCAGGTGAGACCTTGGGGGTCCCAGCCCAGACCAGGCGAGAGTGAGGCAGGTCTCCTCCCAAGACCCAGCAGGGCCAGGCGCAGGCTGGACCCCAGAAGTGGGGGCCTGCCGGACTCAGGGCGCCCTGGCCAGGGGGAGGGAGTGGACCCCTTCCCACTCTGACCACTATGCTCCAGCCACCCGGGGGCTCCGTCCCCGCAGGCAGCCTCCCCTTGGCCCCCCCTTGGCCCACGTGGCATCGCCCATCCTCCATTACCCCGCGCCCTGTGCTGGGGCCACGCAGCCAGAGCCTGAGGGGAAGGAATCCCTGGGCTGAGGGCTCAGGTGTCCTGCGGGCAGGTCCACAAGCACCAGTGGGGCTGAGGCAACGGCGTCTGGAAGCCCCGTGGCCCGAGGAGGCCCACCCAGAGGGGGCGACTTTGCTGCTGATGCCGAGGCTGGAAGGGCGTTCCAGGCAGAGGGAACAGCCTGGGTGGCTTTGCAGCGACCTGAGGTCTGAGCAGAGCCGCTCGGGTGTGCTTGGTTCTGGAGACCAGGAGGCGCTTGAGGGTGGGGGCGCGGGTAGAGGTCGGGGGGACAGAGCTCCCGGGGGGCGTAGGATGGGGAAGGGCTGGGAGTGCTGGCCCATTGCCCCTGCGCCCCCGGGCAGGTGGTGGAGGCGGGGAGGGCCTCCCGCCCCCAGCCCTGGAGATGCCAGGCCGGCAGCCCGCGCCCCCCGGCGGGCCCAGCATCACTTTGGGAAGGCCTGGCCTGTACCTCCGCTCCCCCCTCCCCTCCTTGTCATCCCTGGCCTCCCCGCGATCAGGACCAGATGTGCCGCTGAGCAGGAATTCTAGCTATTTGGTTAACCAGTCACTCCAGGGAGTTTCTGATAAGGCGATTTGGTTCTCAGCTGGGGAGGGGGAGGAGTGAGAACCAGCGGCTCTCGCCCCCACCCTCCTTGAGCCCCAGGGCCTGGGATGCCTGCCGGCCAGGGTCTCGCCCAGCCAGACCACTCTGAGGAAGAAAGGCTTTCCAGGCCTCTCGTGGCTCTGCGCTGTGCCAGCAGGTGGGTGCTAAGGCTGCAGGGGTGTCCGCCCCCAGGGGCCTGGGTGCAGAGCTTCAGTGGGAGGGGAAGGAGCCCACACTGGAGCAGGCGGTATGCTCCCCGCCGCGACACCTACAACACCCCTGTGAGCGCGCCGCCTCCCAACCACTGGTCCTCCCCGCTCTCATCTTTCATCCATTTATGTTCGTGCCAGGCTCTGAGCCGGGCCCCGGAGCCATGGAGATGGATAAGGTTCCATCCCCACCCTCGAGACGATTGTCATGCATGAGGAACCTGGTACATCAGCTCACGGTAACAGGGGGAGCAGGCCTGCAGGTCAGGGGAGCTACCCCCAGGGGAGGGGGGTTTCCCACCTGGGACCCTGGCCCTCTCCTTCTCCAGGCCGCCTCCTCCCAGCGGCCGCCGAGCACTCGCCCCGCTCAGGTGGTGGACCAGCCCTGCATGGAGCTTGACGGCCCCGGGGTCCCGGGCCGGCCTCTCATCTTACTCCGCTCTGCTCTTATGGCGGCCTCCTGGGGTCTTCTTGACCCCTTCTCTGGTCCTGCAACCCTTAAACACTTAGCTTCTATCTCCGTGGACCCCAGTGCCTCGCCCAGTATCCGGTGCAGAGCAGAGACTCAGCGTGGGCGCCCTGAACGAACAGATGGGTGAGCGGGTGTATGGGCAGGTGTCTATATGTGTATATGTATGTACGTATGAATGTAGGTCTTTGTGGGTAGGTGGGTGGGTGGGTGGATAGACAGATGGATGAGTAGATATATATAGGGGTGGATATATGCAAGAGACGTGGGCTCAATCCCTGGGTCAGGAAGATCCCCTGGAGAAGGAAGTGGCAACTTACTCCAGTGGTCTTGCTTGGGAAGTCCTATGGACAGAGGAGCCTTGTGGGCTACAGTCTGTGGGGTCTCAGGGTCAGACAGAGCTGAGCAGCTAAACAAGCTAAACAACAACGAAGGGGACTGCAGGTCAGCGTGTGTCTCCTGGGTTGTCCCTGCGGTCGTGCCTAATGGGGGAGCAGGGGACAGAGCAGAGACTGAGATTTACTGGATGTCTCTCCCTGTAGACATGCTCCATGCTGATTCATATAGAAATTTATCTGCCTTTACAGTCGGGAACACAATAGGGATTGGAAGATACTTACTGATTAAATGGAATCTGAAGATCTTGTTTAAGTGACCGTGGGCTTCCTTGGTGGCTCAGATGATAAAGAGTCTGCCTGTAATGTAGGAGACCCGGGTTCGATCCCTGGGTCAGGAAGACTCCCCGGAGAAGGGAATGGCAACGCTCTCCAGTGTTCTTGCCTGCAGAAGTCCATGGCAGAGGAGGCTGGGCAGCTACAGTACCTGGCCTCGCAGAGAGCCAGACACGACTGAGCGACTAACACACAGCAAGGGAACATGCATCTGGAAATTGTCTTAAGGACCTAGAAAATCTGAACTCATCAATAAACAGGCTGCCAACTGAAAGCTATAAAACCCTATCCTAGGAAAAGGCACAGGGCCCAGAGAGTTTTATGGGCGAGTTATTTTTTCTTCAGCGTTCAAGATCAGCCCTCTACTGTACAAGATGCTTCAAGCATAGAAGATGAGCACAATTATGACTCATTTTCCGTGTTCACATAACCCTGATACCCAGTCAGGAGGACCACAGAAGAAGGGAAACCACAGACCGAGTTCACATGTGAAGATAGACACAAAAACTGTAAATAAAGGAATGAGCAAATTAAATCCAGCCGTGTATTGAATTAGAGTAATAATACACCCTGGCCAAGTGGAGTTTACTTCCAGGAATGCAAGGATGACTCAACATTAGGAAATCCATTAATATCATTGTGTTAATAGGCCATATGATAGGAAAGAGAGGAAAACCCATACAGTAATAGCTGAATAGATAAGTGCCCAAACATGTTCCATAACATTTAAAATGCACTCCCCTTTATAAAGCTTGTTTACTAGGGAAGACATAGAAAAGAATTTCCTTAACACCAGAGAAGAAGCTCATGTTCTCCGCCTGCTGCCTCCTCCCAGCCTGCTAGCCCATCACCCTCTGAAATCAGCCCCACCACCATCCATGCAGCCAAACTCAATGTTGTTCTTTTTAATAAGATGTGGCCTGTCGGGCGCTTTCGCTGGCTCTGCACTCTACCCTCCCCTCCCCGTCCTGAAACCCCTCTCGTCTATGCTTCTTGCGTGGAGAAGTCAGCCTCTGACAAACCAGCCCTCTGGCAGACAACAATCAGCAGCCTTGGACAACAGGCAATCAAACAAGTGAAAAACTACCCCGGGGCTACAGAGAGTTAGCAAAGAGCAGGCTGTTTTGGAAAGGCAGTCATAGTTCAGGCATCCTGAACCCCAATCTTTCTGGCTTGAGGAACCAGGAGAAGGGGCCTGGGGCAATCAAGATTGCTGAAGAGTGAGGCGGGAATCCCAGAAAGAGCCGCGGACACGACGTCACAGATTTTATGTATAAACTCTGCTCACGTTCCAGGCGCGAGGTGTCTCTGCAACAGAACAGTCACAAAGTGTGTGATACAAATCAGGGTGACATGATATACCTGGGGGCCTGGGAATAGGAATTTTCCTCTCAATGGAAATATATTAACCGAGGCCAGCTCTGAGGTCACTCAGATACTGGACTGATCAGATACAGACTTCAAAAGAGCTAGGATAACGATGCCTGTGGAGATAAAAGAAAACACATGCACATGAATGAAAAGATGGGAACTTTCAGCACATAGAAAATGCTAGAAGCATCTAAGTGGACAGTGAGGGCAGAAAAATTCAGTCTCTGAAAGATTAAAATAAAAAATCACTGAAGATATTAGTGGCAGAATGGAGATGATGAGAGAGTCTCTGAACTTGAAGACAGGCGGGGAGACGTTATCCAAGGTGAAGCAAAAGGAAAAAAGAAAATTTTTTTTTTAAATAACAGAAACTCAAGGTCATATGAATGGTATTAAAAAGTCTAACACACGGCTGATTAGGGTCCTGGTAGCGGAGGAGCAAGAGAATGGGGGAGAAAAATATTGGAGAAATAATGGCTAAAATCTCCCAAGAAGTCCATCAAAACCCAAAGTGGATCAACTTGAAGCAAAATGTACCTGGGTTCATCAAAGTGAAACTGCTGAAAATGAAAATTCAAAAGGACAAGTTTGAAAGGAGGACGTATTATATTACCAAGAGCAATGTGCTAAAGGTGGCAGACTTCTCAACAGAAAAGTGGAGGCCAGGTGAGAGGATGAGATGCTGAGAAAGGTTGAGGTCACTCAAGCTGGCCTCGGGAGGCCCCTCTGCTTCCCGTGCCCCTCCAGGCATCTCCCACACCCAGGGCCCAGAAGCTGGTGGGGGTGCGGGGCAGAGGGAAGGAGGCGTGTGTCCCTTCCATGGGTCACGGGACAGGTGGGTCTCCTTCCCTGTGACAAGGAAAAGCAGGGATGCCCGCACCTGTGGCAGGTGTGGGCCAGGTCTGTGCCAAGTCTGTTCTCTCAACCGCACAGGTGGGATCTCGCAGGCCAAGGATGTCTGAGAGATGCCTTGAGCGCAGTGTCGAGGGCTAGGCACCCCAACCTGCAGGCGATGGGGACCTTGCCGATGAGAACCACTTTCGGGGACAACTGAAGAAAGGGGGCTGCTTTGGAGCTGGCCCCCCCGGAGCATGCCACCCCCGGCCCAGCCCGGCCTGGGGCTCCAGGGAGAGGAAGCCGCGGGGGCTCAGGCCCCCTAATCCTGGTCATCCCCGCCCACCATGAGTTCTGTGGAAGCCTCTCCCAGCACCCCAGGGTTTCAGGTCTGATTCCCTGTGGCGTCCGAGGAAGGGCATTCCTGAGGGTGCCCCAGACGAGGGATGTGGGGCCAGCTGCCCAGCACAGGCCGAAGTCTCCCTGCACGCTCGGCTTGCCATCAGCACGGAGGCTGGGCTCTTCTCCCAGCGCTTCACCAGGGGTCTAAAGAACTCCCAGAACCAAAGGAGTCCAGCCGCTGCCAGGCCAGCAGGCAAGGCTCACGGAGGCAGCAACGGCCGTGGAGAAGCTCAGGGTGGACAAGGGGGAGGTATTAGGGGTGCGGGGGACTCTGTCCTGAGAAGTCTGCACCCGACTTGGGGGCAGCCAGGAACACATGGAGGAGAAGATGGGCCGTGGGAGCTCCAGGAATTGCATTCCTCCAGGTGAAGCTGGTCAAGGAGGGCTCCCTGGAAGAGGAGAAGCTCATGGAAGGCCTTGAAGGCCGAGGAGAATTGAATCAGGAGGGCAGACAGGCGGGGACGATGGGGTGCGTGCACAGAGAAGAGTGAGGAGACTGGAGCTGCTCTCCCACCAGATATCTTTACAGGAGCGGAGTTTGCCTGGGGTGGGGGGCGGGCGGCGGCAGTTCGAGGGGGAGGCTGGAGCGAGGGTCTCCCAGCCTGCTGGCCTCTGCTCCAAGAGGCAGCCGCGGAGCAGGCGCCCAGGCCGGCGGCCAGCTGCACTTGAGAACGCACTTGACAAAGTAGTAAACTTTATTAATCCCACGAAGCTGGACTCTGGAGTGTGTCTTGATAGATACTCTGCGAACACGGCGGCGGGGCTCGAGGCAGCGGCTGGCACCCCCGGAGAAGCCCTCACTGGGTGGCCTGAGTTCCAGGCTCAGGGGCCACCAGCCTGCACGTGCTGGCTGCGCTCTCTGAGGAGAAGGACCGTCCTGTCGCCTGGATGGAAACAGCCTGTGGAATCCGCTGTTGGTGATCCCTTTCGAACTTCCAAGCAGAATCTGGGGCACGTGCACATGCGCGGCGTTCCAGTCCCGAAAGATCCCGAAGAGCCAGGTGACCGCATTCCCAGACCCGAGTTTTTGCTCTCAACCCTGGAGAGCGTGACCTTGGATGCTCCCGCCTAACCTGGGGACCGGCACGTCCCAGTGGCCACACACAGGGAAGAGTCCCCTGAGAGAGCCAGACAGACCGGGGGCGTTTACCCCCCAATCAGCTTTACTTTGGAACAATTGTAGATTTACAGACAAAACTGCACAGGTGGTGGAGAGTTTCCCGAATCCCCCTACACATGTGTGGAATGGAAGACTGAGAAGGTCCCCAACCCAGCTCCTGGCATCACCTGGGGTCACCAGGATTTCTGCTCCGTCCCCCTTCTGCTTGTTCATCATTTCTTTCATCTCCCGGATGGAGGGGTTTTCAAAAGAACAGCATCTGGAGAGGTTGCTGATGGGGCTTCAGACCCCACAGTGCAGCTCGCTTTTGAGAGCCCACCCCTTGTCGGGGTCCTGGGAAGCCCTCTGAGTGAGCCCCCCTCTCCCCAGAGGCTGCATCCCCCCGGGCACTTACCTTCCCCAGCCACAGAGCTTTCCCGAGCCTGAATCCATGCCACGCTTCCCACTAAATGTGCTTTGTCTCAACAAGCTTCGTGACTTTTTTGCTTAAAGAGATGCTTTATGTTAATATGGAATATCTTGTGACTTTTAATTCACTTAGAATATTTTTAAGATTTTTTTGATGTGGACCATTTTTTTTAAGTCTTTATTGAATTTGCTACAATATTGCTTCTGTTTCCTGTTTTGTTCTGGCTGTGAGGCATGCAGGATCTTAGTTCCCTGACCAGGAATCAAACCCGCATCACTTGTGTTGGAAGATAAAGTCTTAGCCACTGGACCACCAGGGAAATGCCTAGAATATATATATTTTTTTAATTTTTAAAAATTCAAATATCTGAGAACATTTCCATGCTTTAGTGTTAACGTCTAATTGGGCAAATCTCAGCAGATGCCACCCTCCCTCAACTAACGCTCTTTAGGATCCTCTGTAATGTTCAGGAATGTCAAGGGGTCCCGAGGCAAGAGTAATGGGGAACGGAGGTCACGGAGCCAGGGCTGGGGAGCGGCTCTGTGTCCAAGCTGCTGGGTCTCATCTCTCTGCGTGTTAAGACAGGGACCATAGGAGCGAGGGAACCACACGGTTGGGCTGTGTAGATGGTCTGTTCTCTGTGGGCAGCGGCACCAAAGATCCGCCCCTCACAGTCCTCAGACGAGGGCAGAACCGGTTTAGGGCTATGAGAAAACTGCGCAGAAGTTTCAGAGTCCCCTCTACCCCACCCCCACCACACAAAACACACGCAACACGCCCACACCGTTCACGCCCTGCTCTCGGGGAAGAACTGGTCAGCATCAGTGAACTCCTACTGAGACGTTATTACAGGTAACGACGTTCACACTTCCCACCAGGGCTCACCCTCGGAGCTGAGCATTCTTTGGGCTTGGATAGACGTATAAGGGTGGGTACTCATGGCAACAGCGTCACGGGGTCCCGAGAAATAGTCTCGCTCCCCTGAAAACCTTCAAGCTCTGCCCGTTCATCCCTCACCCACCGTGAACCCCCGCAGCCACTGAGCCTTTACTGTCCCCACTGTCTCGCATTTTCCAGAATGCCACGCGTGGCCTTCTCAGACTGGCTTCTCCCCCTCAGTCGTGAACATTCACATTCCCTCCATGTCTTTTGTGGCAGCTCATTTCTCCGTATCACTGAATAATTAATAACAGTCCATTGTCCCAAAGGACCACTTTATCCATCTATTCGCCCACGGAAGGGCATCTTGGTTGCTTCTGCGTTTGGATGATTCTGCGTGAAGCTGGTTTATGTCGACCTCTGCGTGCAGATTTTCTTGTAGCTTTTCTCTTTAATCCAATTTCACTTCCAATGACTTGTGGGTTTCCTCAGGGCAGTTTGGAAGGTCATTCCTCTTCGGCCCCTTGCCGGAAGGACTTGGTAGGGCATATTTCACAGTGGTCTCTGGGGCTGGACGCTGTCTGTGTGAACACCCAGGTCTTTCGTTAGGTCCTGTCTGTCCCCACCGTGCAACAGCTCCATCCTGGTGTTGGTGGTACTCCGTCCTAACTCTGGTTTCCCTGTGACTTCTCACGTCTTGCCGGCTAAGCCCCTCACTGCCCTGCTACTGAGAGCCTTCCCATAAAACTCGCCTCTTACCTAAGTGTCCATCCACAGAGGAACGGATGAAGGAGGTGTGGTACATGCATACAATGGAGCATTACTCAGCCATTAAAAAGAATGAAATAATGCCCTTTGCAGCAACGTGGATGGAGCTAGAGAGCGTCTTACTGAGTGAAGTCAGACAGAGACAAATATCATAAGATATCGCTTCTATGCAGACTCTAAAAAGAAATGACACAAATGAACTTATTTACGAAGCAGAAACAGACTCCCAGGTTCAGAGAGTGGAATTGTGGTCACCAGTGGGTGGGGCTGGGGAGGGATGGCTCGGGAATCGGGGATTGGCATGTACCCACCGCTGCTCCTGCCGACTGGCTCAGTCGTGTCCGACTCTGCGACCCTGTGGACTGTAGCCCGCCAGGCTCCTCTGTCCATGGGATGCTCCAGGCAAGAGCACTGGAGAGAGTTGCCCTGCCCTCCTCCAGGGGATCTTCCCAACCCAGGGGTCGAACCTGGGTCGCCTGCATTGAAGGCAGACTCTTTACCACTGAGCCCCCACGGAAGCCCCCATGTACACATGACTATATGTAAAATATACAACCAACAAGGACCTACTGCAAAGCACAGGTAGGTCTGCTCAGTATTATGGAACAACCTAAACGGGAGAAGAATTTGAAAAAGAGTCAGATACGTGTGTATGTGTAACTGAATCACCTTTTGCTGTACGCCTGAAACTGTACTCGGATAGCAAATAAAGTTTTGTTTTTTTTTAAGTCTCCTCTTAATTCACTCACAGCAGGCATGGACAGGGAGGCTATCGTGAACCCTGACCCACCAGGAAATGCAGGGAACCTGCTCCCCAGCTCCGGGTCTCCTGGCTGCCCCCGGAGCTCGCTCTGTCTGGGGAGAAGCCCGCTGGACGAGATGCTGGCTCTCACGCCCCGGCAGGCAAGCCCGTGCCTTCAGACATGGAGCCTTGAGGCTGAGTCTCTCGTCCGAGTAAGCTTTCTTGCTGTGGCTCTTTGGGGAAAGCGTAACAGACACTGGTGTGCTCCTGACCACTCACACTTGGAGCCTGTCCCCACAAGTGGCCCGGCTCAGAACCTCCTCGCCTCTGCCCTGAGCACCCGCTGCATGCTGAACGGGGTGTCCCAGCCATGATGTTCCCACCACCCCCAGCCCGTGTCTCCATGGGGCTTTGCGAGGGGGTCCATGCGGAGCCCAGCGTGCTCTGGGCCTCTCTGGGCAAGCTTCTCTCTACACGCTCTGGTGACAGGGCGCTCACTCCTGCCCCACGCTGAGAGTGGCCCACTAGCCCCTGACCCTGGGTCTCCTCCTGGGATCCCCCTCACGTCCCCCTCAAACCGGGTGGAGGCCTCCCTCAGGATGGTGCCTCACGGGGCTGCACACATTTCTGCTCGGATCGTCCCCGCTTTCAACTGAACTCCACAGAGAGGCCCCAGGAGGGCCCCGGGAGGACCCCAGGTCTGGGAGGGGGCACCCCTCTTCCTGGCCCAGAATCTAATCCAGCCATGGGGCAGCAGGCAGGAAGGGGTGCAGGTGACCCCTGCTGCCTTGCAGGTTGCCCGCCCAGTATCCCTGGCCTCTGGCCCGCACGGAGCCCCGCTTAAACTCACGAGTCCTCTGGGGAGGGTCAGGCAGCCCACATAGGGTAACTGAGCCCCACGGTGGTGGGGGGCTGTGTGCGGGGGCCCCACGCCTTGGACACCTTCTCCCTGGCCTAGGCATCAGAGGCTGGGGGTCTCCCTTGAGGGTTTCTTCAAGGGTGCGGGCAGCCCACCCAGCCGGGCTTCTGGCTCCAGCC